TAGCACAGCAGTGTGGGTAGACTGCCCTTGGTCCAGTTCTTCCTTCCTTGTGGAAGGTGACAGTGCATTGGTTTCCAGAGGCCCCATTATAATGGTCACCTCTTTCCATGAGACAGACTTCTTCATCTGTGCACAGATGGGCCCCGTTGTGTACTCTTGTCTTACTGGAAGAGATCACTACAAGATCATTTCAGAATTTCCCTGCAAACCAAGCAAGTGACTTCTCACTTTTTTGTGTGTTATGTATATTGTAATTCAAGTCACTTTTCTTGTCACATGGGATGAGTGAACAAGATCATATAGACCCTGAGGGTTACCCAGGAGACATTCCTAGCAGGACAGCAGGGGTTTCCCATGGCAGTGCCTCTTCCAGGCTTGGCATTCAGGTTACTATAGCCCCAGAAAAGTGTTAAGAGATGTGTGAGACACCAACTGGAACAAGTCCTTTACTGCCTGCCACCTCCTCTGCCCTTCACTCACTGGCCTGGGCTGTGCTCACCACTGAACACCACTGAACCTGCTTGATTCCCCCCAGCCATAGAAAGCAGACTGCTTGTTCTAACCCGGCATTGCCTAAAAGAAATACAGTGAGCTGGGCATGGTGACACATGGCTGTACTCCCAGTACTCAGGAGGCTGAATCAGGAGGAGTCCAACTGTGAACCAGCCTGGGCTGCATAGCAAGAGCCTGTCACAAACAAACCCAGACAAACAGAAATGAGGCTACAAAGGCATCTGGGATGGGAGATGGCTAGCTGAGCAGGACTGTATAAACCAGGCTCCTTGGCACCTGCTGGAGGTGGAAGAATTAGGAATTCAGATTCATCCTTCGACACATAACGAATTGGAAGTCAGCCTGGACTACATGAGGGTGGGGGTGGGGAGGGCAAAGTAGATAACATTAGTAATTTGAAACTTGCTGAGTCAGGTGTGGTGGCTCACACCTGTTGTCCCAGTGCTTGACCTTAGCTGGAGCTTGCCCCAGGAGGCCAACCTGGTCTACATAGCAAATTCCACATCAGCCTAGACTACAGAGACCCTACCTCAAAAGCAAAACAAAACAAACAAACAAAAAAAAAACTTTCTTGTAGCCACATTTTAAGAAAAAGAAATGAGTGAATTAATATTACTAATTTTATCTTATTTAGTCCTGTGTATCTAAAGGGCATACTTTACTTTCTTCCTGTGTTTGAAATCCTTTAAGTGTTTTATACAGACAGCCCTTAGCATTTGCATACTACATTTTCATCTCAAATAATTGATCTATATTTAGATCTCATGAAATGTCAAGTGCAAAAATAGATGCAAATACTTCCGTTGTTTCCAAACATTGAAAACTTTCCAGTAAGCCAATTGTGGCTTTAAAATGAAATAAAACTAAATGCCCTGAAACATTTCACTTTCTTCTTCACAGTGCTCGTGTATGGCTGGGGGCTGTTCTAGCTCTCCTCTGAGAAGAATTTTCCTCGTCTCATTCCACCAGCTCCCTTCCTCCTGCCTTTGCTTAGATCCAAGCTCTGGCAGAAATCTTCATTGACCACTCTGTTTAACAGAAATACCCCCACTCCCCACTGCACACTCTGATCTTGTTCATTACACAGTACTTTCATCTCTCCTGCCGAATGATTGCCAACTTATGATCTGATTTGGGGCCTCCTCCCCGCTTCCACCACTGGCTAGCTGTAAGCTCCTTGAAGCAGCTGGTTTCCTTCACTGATAATATCTCAGCATCTGCAGCTCAGGAATTGGGGAGTGCTTGCTGGTCTTGGAACTGAAAAAAACTGCAGGTTAAGTTTCCTAGATTAACCTATAAAGGCTTGTTAAGTTGTTAATAGATGTCACCATCGAAGAGACTTGACCAACATTCTGTCCACCAGAAAACAAAGTATGGTTTTCCCTGTATCAGAGTGGCACGGGGAGATGGAGGAATGGGCATATTTAAAATGGAAACTGTTTCTCCGTATTGAAACCAGCTCAGTTCAGAAAGCCTCCCTGTTCACTCACGCTTAAAACATGAACTTTTACAGTGAAAATGTAGTTAGGTGAAGCAATCTTCTCATTCAGAGTTTTTTGCCTGAGTCCAGCCATTGGAGTGGAGAGTGTGTTCTGGTGCTGCCCTCTGGTGGTCACTGGTCTTCATGGCGTCCTTCGGTCTGGCAGTCTCTTCACAGGAGCTTCCTTTCTTCACCACAGGGTCCTGCCTGTCACTTAGGTGGGTGTGTTCTGTCACCTCATCATAATCACAGGGTTCCCTAGATTCCCAGCTCTCAGGCTCTTTTCTGGGCTACTGCAGTATTGCAAGTGCCCGGCTGGGGTGGTGTTTTGTGTATCTGTGTGGATCCCAAAGGAACTTCAAGGGGTACCTGACCAATATCTTGATTTTGTTGTTCTTGCTGTCTGTTTAAAATGATCAGAATTTGGACTTGCTCTGTATCAGTAAAATTCATAATTTGATTGTAAGCTCTACGACAAATGCGTGTTTGTCTGCCCCAGGGGTTATGATTTAAACATGGCGGAGGGAGCCTAGTGCTTCTCTCCTTACCAGCAATCCAGTCCTTAAAAATAAAACCATGCCAGGGAGATGGGTTAGTAGGTAAAGTACTTGGTGGGTAAGTCTGACACCCCAAGTTCAGTCCCCAGAATCCACAGAAGAATCCAGAAGTGATGGGTGTATCTGTAGTCCTCAAATTTCTACGGTAAGATTAGAGGTAGAGACAGGAGAGCCAGTCAGCCGGGAGAATGCGGACAGCAGCAGAAACAAGTTCCTACCTCAGCAACTCCCCAGAGTTGTCCTTGAACTGACATATGTACATGCCATGGCATACCATATGTGTGCACTCACACAATGATAGTAAATGAAATAAATACAAAGTTGTTTTAAACAGCTTTTTATCTGAGCTACCATACCATAAAATTTACCTAGTTAGAATGCACAGATCTTAGCTGGGCATAGTGGCAAATGCCTGTAAACTCATCACTTGGCATGGAGGTGGAAGGATTAGGAATTTGAAGCCAGCTTGGGCTACATAGTGCATTTGAGCCTGTCGTTGCTGTCATTTTTAGAGCTACTGACACATGTAAAGTGTGTATTTCAAGGCATTAGGTGTGTTAGAAAGCCACTCAGCAAAGATGATACACTGAGTCTATGGTAATATTAAGTGACACAGAGCAAGGTGATGCTGTGATGCCAGGGGGTAGAGAAGTGATTGGCGCAGGGCCTTTGGTGGAGGGAGGAGGGGGATGCAGGCTTCCTAAGGAAGCTCCTTCCATCCGCTTCCATTGCTCTGCAGAGGAAACCACTCATTAGCGGTCTTGCTTGTTTCCCTCTTACTCCTTCAGAAACATTGTCTCCCCGTCCCTGTGCTTGGTTACTGCAGACATACAGTGGAAACATCAGCACTAAATAATATTCTGTTTATCCATTCACTAGAGGATGGATGTGGAACTGAAATACAGAATTATAACTATTACTAATAATATGTATAAATATTATGATAAATAGCATTTATCATCAATAACTTGTTAAGAGAGGGGAATGGGGTGAATATGAATGAGGTATATTATATACACTTATGAAAGTGTCATAGTGAAGCCAGCTGTCTTGCATAGTTCACATAGCTACTAAAATATCCTGAACATTTTTTAAAGCCTGTGTAACCTGTTACCACCAGCCCCCTAGATTTTGTATAAAGCCCACTAAGAAAAGTTCAACTGGTTTGTGGGGAGGAGAGAGAGAGAGAGGGAGAGAGAGAGAGAGAGAGAGAGAGAGATTTTATTGAGTTTCAGCAACTTGTCTGTTGGAGAGTCTGAATGTGTACTGTAGTTTACAATAAAGCTCCCTCCCACCTGGGCACGGTGACTCATCATATTTGTACAGGTGTTTCTTTAGCATCATTCTCACAGTTATCTTTCCAGTATGCCTCATTTGGGATCTGGAAGCATATGGTTGTAATATTCTTAGTGTTTGCAAACTGAAGGTGAGCCCTTTGGTTTCTGGACAAGGTCTGAAGTTATACCAAATGGTGACAGCACCTATGGTTATAAACCAGAGTTCATATGTTTTTTAATGATATACCACTTGTGAATGATCATCTCATTAATGACAGATACAGAGACGTCCATTGGTTAAATTTGATCAGAGTCAGACATGCATTTTACAATATGAAATAAATTAGATAGTGTATAACTGTCCATAACAGATACTTCATCTGCCACTAGAAATTTGCTTTAAAAATATTTGCTAGCAGGGCTGGAGAGAAGATGGCTGGGCCTGGTGTGGGCTTTTGAAATCCCAAAGCCTATCCCCAGTGACACCTCTCCTCCAATAAGGCCACACCTCCTAGTCGTTTTCAAACAGTTCCACCAACTTGGGACCAAGCTTTCAAATGTATGAGCCTATTGCAGCCGTTCTCAATCAGACCACCAACAGCTGCCATGTGGGTTCTGGGAATCAAACCCACATCCTCTGGAAGAGCAGCCAGTGCTCTTAACTGCTGAGCCATCTCCGTAGCCCAATAACCAGTTTCTTCTTTTAAAAAAAATGAGAGAGGGTCAGGCAGGATTTGTGAGTTTGAAGACCCGAGTTTCCTCATAGAAACCCAGGAGTGGTGATATGCACCTGTAAATCCCGGCACCGGGAAGGCAGAGACAAGAGGGTCCCTGGAGCCCAATGACCAGCCAACCTGGCCAGATCATTTCCAGGTTCAGTGAGGAATCCTGTCTGAAGAAATGAAACGGAGACTGATTGAGGATGAGCCCCAATGATGAACTCAGGGCTCTTGCCCAGCCTCACACAAATCTACACATTTGCCCATATGAGCACACACACATATACGCCCCCATGATCACATGTGTGAATTGAGACTCATGTACAGATTTTCAAACATGCTGTGCTCTTTGAGCCAGAGTTGTTCTTCCCCCTCCATTGCTACCCACACTACATCTTGTGGCTGCATCAGCCCTGGACTCAGCTTCACGGGAACAGGACAGGATGTGACGAAGATGGTCACCTCCCTTCTTCCTCAACAGTTTGTGGAAATTCTCCCAAGCATAGAAATGTATGTTTTCCCAGCAGTAGTCACAGTAACACTGCATTGCAGGTGATGTTGGCATAGAAGTGGGCAAATTTTCTGCTACAGAGACATATTTTCTGTTTTTAATTTTATTTTTTATGTGTATTGGTGTGTCACCTGTCTGTGTGTCTGTGGGAGGGTATCAGATCTCTTGGAACTGGAGTTACAGACATTTGTGAGCTGCCATGTGGGTGCTGGGAGTTGACCCGGGGTCCTCGGGAAGAGCAGCCACTGCTCTTAACCGCTGAGGCATCTCTCCAGCCTGAGACATATTCTCTTGTTTTTTTGTTTTTTGAGACAGGGTTTCTCTATGGCTTTGGAGAATGTCCTGGAACTAGCTCTTGTAGACCAGGCTGGTCTTGAACTCACAGAGATCCTCCTGCCTCTGCCTCCCGAGTGCTGGGATTAAAGGCGTGCACCACCACTGCCTGGCTCTATGAGACATATTTTCTAAGCAAGCACTTGAAGAGTGTGTCATGATAACTCTTAGTGCTTCATCTAAGTAGCATGCATATTATAGAAAAATACATGTAAGCATATAACTTGGTGCATTTTCACAAACTGGATAATACTACAGTGTTATTGGCATCTAGAACTAAACCCAAAGCCTAGCTATCATACCAGAAGACATCTATGTCATTAGAAGTCAGATGTTTTCTTAGATTCTTTAAACTAAAAAATGTTCTCTATCTGTGTTGTGGTGGCACACACCTTTAAATTTCAGCATAGAAACAGGTGGATCTCTGAATTTGAGGCCAGCCTGGTCTACAGAGTGAGTTCCAGGACAGCTAGGACTCCACAGAGAAATCCTGTCTCAAAAAACAAAGGAAGGAAGGGGGAGGGAGGGAGAGGGAATTTTGTCTCTACATCTGCAGTCTTCACAGCCAATGTGAAATTGCACTGATTCTTTTTTTGTTATTTTTTTATGTATATGTGTGAGCAACCCAGTATCTGTGCACCACATGCATACAGGAACCCACAGAAGTCAGAAGAAGGCATTAGACCCCCTGGAACTAATTTAGTACAGGCAGTTTTGAGCTACCATATGGTGCTGGGAATTGAACCTGAGTTGTCTGCAAGAGCAGTCAGAACCCCTAACCATGGAGCAATCTTTTCAGACTTGTTGTCCCTGACTTTTGAACTCCATATAGGTCATGTAATGTGTACATGCTTGTATGTCATGTCAAATTTTGTTTGTGAGATTTACTTTCATAGATATTTTTGTTAGAGTTGATTCATTGAATACTATGTAAAATTTCAGTACATAAATGTATTTCACAGTTTATTCCACTTGGAGATATTCTGAGTAGTCATTATTAGCTTTCTATTCATGTCACTTGATACGATGTCTGTGCTGGCTAGAATTCTGTCAGCTTGACACAAGCCAGTCGTGTGAGAGGAGGGAGCCTCAACTGAAAAATGCCTGTATAAGATCCCACTGTGGCTGGGCACTGGTGGCGCACACCTTTTATCCCAGCACTCAGGAGGCAGAGGCTGACAGATCTCTGTGAGTTTGGGACCAGCCTGGTCTACAGAGCAAGTTCCAGGACAGCCTCCAAAGCAATACAGAGAAACCCTGTCTCGGGGGGGGGGGGGAGGACAAATCCCATTATAGTCAAGCCTGTAGGACATTTTCTTAATTAGTGATCCATGGGGGAGAGACCAGCCCAGTGGAGGTGATGCCACTCTGGGCTGGTGGTGGTCCTGGGTTCTATAAGAAAGCAGGCTGAGCAAACCATGAGGAACAAGCCAGTAAGCAGCACCCTCCGTGGCCTCTGCATCAGCTCCTGCCTCCAGGTTGGGTTCCTATCCTGACTTCTAGCAGTGAACAATGAGTGATGTGAAAGTGTAAGACACATAAACAAACCCTTTCCTCCCCAGGTTGCTTTTGATCATGGTGTTTCATCCCAAGACAACATCTAGCTAGGACAACATCTCAGGGTTGTTTTTATCTGTCATCCCTGAAGGTTGTACATGTTCTTCAGCCTTGTTGACTTTGCCCTGAGTGCTGTGTTAGTTTGGGTTTCTGTTGCTGTGATAAAACACCATGACCAAAAGCAACCTGGGGAGGAAAGGGTTTATTTCATCTCATACTTGCAGCAACAGCCCATCATTGAGGGAATTTAGGGCAAGAACTCAAACAGCATAGGATCCTGGAGCCAGGAACTGATGTAGAGTCTATGGAGGGTGCTGCTTACTGGCTTGCTCCCATGGGTTACCCAGCCTGCTACAGAAGTAGAACCCAGGACCACTAGCCCAGGGATAGCTCCACCCACAATGGTCTGGGCCCTCCCCCCTTAATCACTAATTAAGTAAATGCCCTACAGGCTTGCCTACAACTGGATCTTACACTAGTTTTTTCTTAACTGAGACCTCCTCCTCTCAGATGGCCCTAGCTTGTGTCAAATTGACAGAAATCTAGCCAGCACCTGTGCCTTAGTCAAGAGTTCTAGATGCAGGCATTCCCAGCACTCCCAGCTCCCTTCCTCCTCAGCATTCCCGTTGGACCGTCTTTGGATTTTGTTTATTCTGAACAGTTCTTCCCTGGTGCATACACACACATGTTGGTTTACTTTATTAGCTTGTGAATGCCCTTCCGAACTTTGCTTGTTTGCATACCTCAATACCTGGTTCGGGACCTGAGATACAGTCAGCCAGTTGAGTGGTGACAGCGACCACTGTGACAGTGTTTAACAAACAAGCCCTCTTCATTTCATGTGTCATCTAATAGAGGTCAGTCAGGCCTTCCCTCAGACACGTGAGTGTTGGGAAGTGACTCTTTCAGAAACGAGTCCATCGCCAGCCTCAAAACTGAACATGGCAGGGGTGTTGTTGTGGAGTCTGGGGCCTCTTGGAGATTTAAAGCAGCAGTGGTTCCAGGGCAGGAGAGTGGGGACCAGATATAAATAGCAGAACACAAGTGGGGTAATGCGCCACTGCCAAGCTACCGCTAGGGGTGTTATAAAAAGAAAAGCATTCCCAGGCAGCTCTCACTGTCAACAACATCCCATCCTGGAGGGACTCTCACCACAGCTGAGAGTAGGAATCAGTGTGGCCGGGGCATCATTTAAACTCCCTGCAAAGGCACAAATACCAGGTAAGCATTTTGATTTATCTGCATCCAGACTACTGAATTGAAGACCAGGAGAACCCTGGCCCACAGCTGGCTTGGCACACGCTGCCTGGGTTGCATTCCTTTTACTTTTTGAGAGGGAAGTTTGACACTGCATAGCATTTTAAAATAACTACAGATATTTTAAAAGTGCTAGACAAAAGAACTGCTTTTGAAGAAAGACAGGAACCCGGGGCCAAAAAGAGTTACAAGGAGAAAGGCTATCCTTCCTTCCCCTGTGCCATTCATTTCCTCTTTCAGAATCTAGACTAAGACGATTGGCAAAATAGAGGGAAATGGAGGTTTCCCTTGAGTTACAGGGGTGCCAGCGCTGTTAAGCACATGTATGTGAGAGACTGGAGGCCAGCAGCCTGTATCTCTTAATTGAGCTGGCTAATGGCTCTGGATAGCTTTGGCCCGTGAGGATCCTTGCCCTCCTGGCTAGCCCTTATGCTGTCACAAGTACCGGAACGGATACTGGACGATCAGCCAGTAGACTGCCAGGATCTAGTTAGAATCCCTGCCTTCCCAGGGCTTGTCAGTCGACTCCAGAACATTACACACTTGTTCAACCTCTGGCCTCTGGTGGTTGTGAGGAGTTGGAGGAAGGAGGTCACCTGAGGTACTCCACTCCATCCTGCTGCTGACCTCATCCATCCCCTCCCACCCTAACGGGCGGGCGGGCATGCTCTAACTTGCCTGGCCAGTGGAAGGATGGAAGCTGTGCATGGGGAAATTTCTAGACAGTTCTTAGAAACTGGGAGCTAGTGGAGCAGTTTGAGAGCAGGATGGTTTTGGTGTGCTGTTTCCTGTGTATGCTCAGGGGAGATTTAGAGATGGGGAAACTTGTGCCTAAGTGACCCTGATGGGAGAGCCATGTCTAGAGTTGTGTGGAGGTGGATGGGTTTGCTCTTGGAAGCACTGAAGTTCCCTAAGGTTTTGTTCGATCTCTAGATAAAATCGAATGGCTCTTGCAGCCCTTGGGGTAATCTCTTGTACCATCACAATGTCTGCCCACAATGAAAATATATGTAGCATGTTTTCTTGCTCTCTTTTCCTAAAGCTCTTGGTTAACCCTACTGAATTAAATCTTTTTCATTCTAATTTAGAAGAGAAAAGTGAAGATGGGACATTTTGAAATGGTCACCACGCTGCTGGCAGCCATGACTCTAATGGACATCTTCCAGGTAATGTTGGGAATGTGCTCACTGGGATGGCAGCCTGTAACATTGCCTGAGGAATCTCTGTGGACTGAGAGAAGCCAGAGTAGGCAAATTGGTTTGTTGTAAGCAGCTCTTCCTTCATTTTGCAGGTGACACATCTGCTAAGTGTAGAAAGTTGAGAAATTAAAATTAAATGAAGAGGACAGAAAAATTCAGCCATAAACTCTCCCACTTGGAGGAAGAGACTCTTAGGGATCATGTGGATAGTGTATGTGGTTCCTGTCTCTGTGTGTATAATTTATTTTAAAAAGTAGGTTAACACTGTACAGAGTACTTTTAACCTTGTCTTCAAGTCATACTGCACAGAATTCGCATGTAAATAAATATTCTGGAAATATCGTGTGTTCTCCAAATAGTGCCACGGTGTTTGATTTCCATGTTTGTCATTAAACTACATAGTGACTATTTCCTTGTTGGCTTTTTACCAATAGAAATTTTATGATTTTATTTGCCATTCAATATTTAAAAACGAATATACTTTTTGTATGTATTGTATGAGACAGGCATCTCACTTGTCTTCTTTAAGATACCATAAAATTTAAAAATTGTATCCATTTTTAAAGCTTTAATCCAGTTTCTAGAGCATTAGTATGTTCTGTTGCCCGCACATTGTTTAACTTGAGATAAAGTTTGCAAGAAAATGGCCTCCAAAGAGAGTGGCACTATTAGGAGGTGTGGCCTTGTTGGAGTAGGTGTGGTCTTGTTAGAGGAAGTGAGTCAGTGTGGAGGCAGGCTTAGAAGTCTCATATAACCTCAAGCCACTCCAGTGAGACAGTCCACTTCCTGTTGCCTGCATATCAACTTGTAGCAGCTCCTCCTCCAGTACCATGCCTGCCTACATGCTACCATGCTCCCCGCCATGATAATGGACTGAACCTCTGAAACTGTAAGCTGCCACCTCAATTAAATGTTTCCTTTGTAAGAGTTGCTGTGGTCGAACTGAACTGGAATCCAGTTGCAGAGAAGGAGGAGTGATGAGAGAAGGGGTCAAGACCACTCTGGGGAAATCCACAGAAATAGCTGACCTGAACAAGAGGGAACTTTTGGCCCCTAGATTGATCACTGGGAAACCAGCATGGAACTGATCCAGACCCCATAAATGTGGGTGTCAGTGAGGAGGCCTCGATAATATATGGGGCCTATTGTAGTAGATCAGTACTTATCCCTAGTGTAGGAATGGACTTTGGGATCCCATTTCACACAGAAGGAGACTCCCTCAGCCTAGACACAACGGGGAGGGCCTAAGCCCTCTCCCAAAGGATATGACAGACTCTGAAGACTCCCCCATGGAAGGCCTCACTCTCCCTGGGGAGCAGAAATGGTATTGGATAGGTAGGGTGTTAGTGGGGAGCAGGGGAGGAGGGGAGGGAGAGGGAATGGGGATTGACATGTAAAACAATCTTGTTTCTAATTTAAATAAAAACTTTAAAAAAAAAAGAGTTGCGGTCATGGTGTCTCTTCACTGCAATAGAAACCCTAACTAAGATAGAAGTTGGTACCAGGGACTGGGATATTGCTGTGGTAAGCCTGACCACGCTTTTATTTGGAGGAATATGGACCTTGGGACTGTGGATTAGAAAAGCTTAAGTGCTGCTTAATGGGCCATCCTAGTAGAAACTTGGAGGGTAGCGGTGCTGAGTATGATTTGAACTATGCAGGGGCTGGGGGTTTCAGAGGGGAAGGATTTTAGTATGTTGCCTAGAAATCCTTCTTGTGATATTTTAGTGGGAAATGTGGCTGCTTTTTGCCCTTGCTGGAAAAGTTTGCCTTAGGGTAAAGTGAAGAATTTTTTTTTATTAATTCCATTGGCAGAAGAAATCTCAAAACAACCTAGTATAGACTGTGTTGTGTGGTTATTAGTGTTAACTCTAATGAGTGTATATAATGAAAAGGAGCAAGCTGAGCAAGGACGAATATTTGAGGAGAAAAGAACACATGAAAGTAGCATGGAGCTAAGTCCTGTATTCCAGGAGATAAACAGAGTAAGAAATGAAATAAAGGAATGGTGACCTCAGGGCAAGATCCCACCCAGCTAAAGTTCCAACTTGTGAAAAGGAATTAAAGAAAAGCTTAGAGCCGGGTGTGGCCATGAACAATTTTAATTCCAGCACTTGGAAGGTAGAGAAGGGTAGATCTCTGAGTTTGAGGCCAGCCATTCTATAGATCCAGTCTAAGGACAGCCAGGCTTAGGCAATGAAGGACAGATAGCTGGTGAAGATATAATTGAATGAGGGGGCCATGTTCTAGCCCCAGCAAGCAGCAGCTTGGTGGCAGCTTCAGCCTTGTGTTTCTGGCTCTAAGTTAAGGATAGAAGAAAGGCATTATGGAACCTTCCTGCCTGACTAAGAAAAACCCCCGAGGCCAGGCATGTGTCAGGGGTGTCCCTGAATGGAGGCCTCGATAGGTCATTGTGTGAAGCTGTGAAGTTGAAGCCTGAATCGCCTTGGAGAACCCAAGATGTTGGAGATGCCAGAGCCATTGGATACCTGCTAAGGAGAGCTGCTAACAGGGAGTGAGTGGAACCAGACCAAGAGGAAGTGTGTTGTGGTCAACAAAGTTGAAAGGAGTTGGAGAGCTGAAGATTGTTTTGACATCAGACATACAGGGATTGGAGTTTGCTCAGCTGGATTTTGGTCTTGCTTTGCTCCAATATTTCCTCATTATGCTCCCTTCCCTACGTTTTGGAACAGTAATGTATACCCTGCGCCACTATATGTTGGAAGTATGTGATCTGTTTTTTTGATTTTGATTTTACAAGGGATTACAGTTAAGAGACTGCATGACTCTCAGAAGAGACTTTGAACTTCACACTTTTAAATAAGTTTGAGACTGTGATAGACTATGGGGACTTTGAAATTGGACTGAATGCATTTTTACATTATGATATGGCTACAAGCCTTTGTGGGGGGGGCAGGGAGTGGAATGTAATGGTTTGAAAGGAAATGGCCCCCAAAGGGAGTGGCACTAATGGGAGGTGTGGCCTTGTTGGAGTAGATATGGCCTTGTTAGAGGAAAGTGTCAGTGTGGAGGCAGGCTTTGAGGTCTCATGGATGCTTAAGCCACACCCAGTGAGGCCTACTTTTTGTTGCCTGCTTGTCAACATGTAGCAGCTCCTTCTCCAGCACCAGATCTGCCATGTCCCCCTCCCCCATCCCATAATTATGATAATGAACTGAACCTCTCAAGCTGTAAGATGCCACCTCCATTAAATGTTTTCTGTAGGGAGTCACCCTAGCCCCGCCCAATAGTCCTGGGGCAGGTACCAGGTGGACCTGGGGACTCGCCCATAAGGGCGGGGTGAAGGAAAGCCGGGATGACGTAAAGGGGGCTTCTTAAAGGACTGCACGTGGGGACGGGGGTCTCTCTTTGTTCTGGCCGCGCTGGCTGGGTTCTTAACCTAGCTCTGGCCTGTGTTTCACCCGGCTGTGCTTGGAAATAAAGAGACCTTAATCCAATAGTTTTCTTTATAAGAGTTGCCATGGTCATGGTGTCTCTTCACAGCAATAGAAACCCTAACTAAGACATAGAATTGAGATACCCTTAAAAACATTTTAGACCACACCCTCCACTGGTGTCCTTACGATGTTGACCAACATTAACTGTGGAGCTGCATAGCATTTGCAGCCCTCTCAGAAGCACTTTGCTTATTGGAAGTCAGTTCCCTCCTTCTCCGCTATTCTCCGGCAGCCAGTGAGATTTATGGACAGTTCAGCAGACTGGAATCTTGCATAATACAGTCTTTTGTGCATGGATTCTTTTGCCTAGCATACTGTTTTCAAAGCCTTTTCATGTTGTGTCATATATTAGTATCTCATTCTTTTCATTTAGGAATACTAGTGCCACTACATGGCTAGCCACATTTTGTTTATCAATCAGGCATTTGGGTCGTTCCACTTTATGGTAACTAGGAATAGTATTGCCAAGAACATCTGTGTATGGGTTTCTGTTTGAATGTTTTCAATTCTTCAGATAATTATTCCTCTCTAGGTAGGGACCTATCCAAGCACTGTTGCTAGCCTTATACAGTATTTACGTGAATACCTAGTTTTACTTATGTAAGTGAACATAAATTAGCCATAAATTAGGCTGTGCTACACTGCATGGCAGAATTGTGCATTATTGTGAACATACTTCACTTGGGGGTATCTAGATGAGGGTCACTGGGTCATATCATAACTTCCTGTTTAGCTCCTTGAGGTTCTGCTGAAGTACCATCCACACTGGCTGTACTCCACAGCGCTCCCTCCAGCATGGACTAGGGCTCCAATTCGGCTGTCTCCTATTTACGTGTGATTTTCCTCTTCTGCTCTTGTTTTTGTTTTTTTCATTATTTCCATTCTAGTGGGTATAAAGTGCTGCCTTTTGTGGTTTTAATTTGCCTTTCAAATTAAAATTTTAGTTCGCAACACATCATTTTAACATCTTTTAGTGTTTTTCCATCTAATTGGTTTCTCTTCTGAAACACCTAGGTCATTTCTACATATTTGAAATGAATTTTTGGTGGATGAATTTTATCACTACAAGCTTTTGTTTAGGTGGATACCTCAGAGGAAGAAGACATTAGCAGCTCATTCACCGAATCTTCTGTACCTGCTCCTTAGTGTTCATTCATCTGTCCTGAATGGCGATGGCATTTAGGAGCTTTGCCACTGCAAGGCACGCACTGTTCGGAACACACAATCAGCTGTGGTGTCTGGCCAGGAAGTCTTGCTGTCTAAAATTAGACATGTGAAGCCCTCTCTGAGGCATAGGGAAAAGACAGGAACATATTGGATCAACTCTGATACGGTGTGAGGAATGTGGGCGGCGGTTTCGGGGCTGATGTCTTATGTTGCAGTCTTCAAGATAAATCACGCTTGGTGCTCAGGCTGAGCTCTGGTACATTCTGTGCTACAGAGCAAAATGCGTTTCTTAACTGTGAGACCCAAGGGACTTGATCTCTGAAGCCCTGATCCCCATGTCAAGAAACTGACCTACAGACCCAGGAGAGCAAGGGTCTCAGTGTCACCATGGGAAAACACTATGGTTAGCAATCAATTTCTGTTGCTGGTCTAGGGCCCACTTAGTTGTCTTATTGGTAAAATGCTTTCTCTTGTTTAGCAAAATGAAACTCTTTTAAAAGTATTATGTAAGCCGGGCTTTGGTGGCTCACGCCTTTAATCCCAGCACTCGGGAGGCAGAGGCAGGTGGATCTCTGTGAGTTCGAGGCCAGCCCGGTCTCCAGAGCGAGTGCCAGGATAGGCTCCAAAGCTACACAGAGAAACCCTGTCTCGAAAAACAAAACAAAAAAAAAGTGTTATGTAAGTGTCAGTGGGCTTCATCATGGGACCATTCTAATGTTTTAGAAGCAACAGAACGTTTTGGTTAAGAAGGTAGAACTCTGGAACCAGAGTGTCTGGGGTCAAATACCAATACCATGTCTCAGTATATTCATTTCCTTATCTTTAAAGAAAAAGGTGGAAGGAAGGCTTGGAGCTGGAGAGGTGACTTGGTGGCTATGAGCACCCACGGTTGCAGAGAATCTGGGATAGGTTGCACCCACGTGGCTCATAAACCACCTATAATGCAAGTTACACTGTCTTTTGACTTCCTTGGGTGCCAGGCACCCTGGTGGTGATTTACATGTGTGCACACAAACACTAATGCACATAAAATAAAAATAAACCTTTAAGGTAAAATGAAACAGAAGGATGTTCGTGATGGTACCTATCTCATGGGTTACTCTGAGTATCATGTGAGGTAATGCTTCAAAGGAAGCATTTAGTGCCAGCACATGGGAAGGAGATGTTTGTGAGGCCTGGAAATGAGACATCCTGAGATGGCGGTGTCTTGGAAGACTCCGCAAACGGTTGTATGAGCAGATGGTTCATACTACTGATTCTAGGCCGGAAGTTTATATGTTTATATGTGTATGGTCTTAGACATGGATGACAGGTCTTTGGGCATCCAAAGGAATCAAGTAGGCAGTTGACATTCTCAGCCTTACAGCCTCATCTCCCTTTCAAGTGCCATTAATTTTCTTTATTCCCCTATGGGATTACAAGCATGGCTGTTGGAGTTCCTAAACCAACAGTAAGTAGCCCGACGCTTACAGTTTTAAAGGAAAAGAGGTGGGGATTTTGGAGAGGGGTGATCTGCCTTTACTTGGGGCTGGAAGTGTAAAACCAGTCCCGCACATGCCATCTGAATGAGGGAGCGTGGCTGAAGGGAGAGGTAATATTTGTCACCATGTATTTTCTACCCTGCGCAGTATTTTGTACGTGATACTTCAGACTCTACAAAACAGTCTTGAGCATTTGAGGGAATGAAGGTTGAACCGGAACTGCCACAGAAGTCTTTAGTCCCTTGCGCACCACAGAGCTCACGTGAATGAGTTGCAGGCAATATTCCTACCCATACCTTACTCTCTCATATAAACATGAAAGCTGAGAGAAGCTACCCATTGCCGTGGGGTGGACTTCATAGTTAAAAAGTGGATGAGACAGTGGGCATAGCACTGTGAGAGAAAATTACACCAAATGAAATTGTGACCTCAAGCGTGTTCCTTTCCTTTTGCTTTGAAGGTGAAGGCAGAAGTGTTAGACATGGCAGAGAATTCGTTTGATGATGAATACCTAAAGTGCAGCAACAGGATGGAAATGAAGTACATTCAGCAGCTGTTCAAGGAGGAAAGCGCCAGCCATAGGCTCCTGGAGACTGTGTGGGACAATGCCGGGATCTTGTGGGATGCTCGGAAGGCTCAGATCCCCGTCCCCCTGACCTTCAAGAACTCCTATGGAATAGCCCTGATGGCGTTCGTGACCGAGGCTCGAGAGCAGACTCCTTTTTACCACACGTTCAACAGAGCTGTGAAGATGGCTGGCCATTCCCGGAAAAGTTACATCTATGACTTTCCCTTCAAAGCTTTTCATTTTTACCTGACAAGAGCCCTGCACCTGCTGAGAAGGCCTTGCGGTGACAGCTACAAAGACGTGGTGTACCTCACAAGTCCAGGCATTTCCTTCAATTTTGGAGAGAAAAACCTCGCCCGGCTGGGCAATTTCACACTGGCATATTCAGCCAAACCCCCCATAGATAACAACCAACCAGTGCTAACCATCCACACCTGCTTTGGGGTTCCTGTGGAAAGGTTTTTTGGTAACGAAAGTGAGAGAGTGGTTTTAATACCTCTGAGTGAGGTTTTTCACGTGTCGCAGGAAGGAACTGACAAGGGCCTTACTCTGCACAGCATAAACAAGACCTGCAGCTACTATGATTGTGCGTTCCTCGGGGGTAAGTGTCTCAGCCATGATCTGGGTTTGTCTGAGAGGAGTGGGGTGGGGTGCAGGCCCCGAGAGGTGTCTGGGAGGAGAGGAGTAGGGTGCAGGCCCCGAGAGGTGTCTGGGAAAATGGAGTGGGTTTGCAAGGAGAGATGACATCAGCAGTTTCCAGTCTCACACTCTCTGTCTCTATATCTACAACTCAGGTGTGGTCAAATGCACATAACTGTTAAACAACAAAACAGTACTGTGAAGCAGAACCCATTTTGCCCTACAGGGTTTGGCAATGGTCAGAAACGTTTTTTGGTTGTCACAACTCAGAAAGAGGTGGGGTTGTTATTGGCCAGGAATGGCCAAACAATGCTTGGGACCCTGTCAAAACAAAGCATTATCTAGTGTAAAATGTCAGTACTCCTGGTGTTGAGAAATCCCATTACAAGTCATGCAGTAAAAACAGCCCTATCCCATCTCCAAGCCTCACTGGCATCCATTCTAAATCATTTTAGCTATTTTTTTCAGGCATACACCATCATGCATACTTTTATTATTTCTGGATTTACATTGTTTTTAGATGTCTTCCTTCATGTGTTCTCTTGGTCCAGTAGATTGGTGGCTTTTTTTGTTGGTGGTGGTGGTTTTGGTTTTTTTTAAACCCCTGTAGTACTTCCTTTGCTGGGGTGACTTTATGACTTCATTTTTAAATATCTTATTAATATTTCATCCCAGTTCCTTTAACAGAATTAGCAATCTCTCTGTACATTCATCTTCCCAACCCCTGGACATACTCTCCTGGATTCCCTCATCCTGCTCTGGACTGTGCTCCTAGGTTCTCTGAAGGTCCTGTGGTGTCTCCACACCACCTGTACCTCCAGTCTGAGGCTGTGCCTCTCCTCACACAATCCTGTTCTGGATTTGCATGTCTTCCCCAAGTTATTCCTTTGTTTGGGATGATGCCAAGTGTTGACCGCCATTTTCTGAAAAATGGTTTTTTGAGGCAATTTTTCTAAGACCTAGCATGTGAAAGATCAGCCTTTAATCTCAAATAATAGTATTTGTAGCTTGCCACATTCTTGCATGGTTGGTTCTAGGGACTTGGACCTAACTAGAGGCAGGCAGGCAGGCAGGCAGGCAGGCAGACAGACAGACAGACACAGATAGTAGCTAGAATCGAGTGATCTGGCTCTCAGTGGAGAAACCCCAGCACCCCAGAAACTCGGCATGTTTATTATATAGAGTTGAACAGAGGAGGGGGTACTGCATACAGCTGAACCAGGAGGTGGAGTTATTACATACTGATAAACAAGGATCCGGGTTTATGGTGTATAACTGGATCAAGGGGGCGAGCCTCGCTCATCTCAGAGGAAGCAGTCTCCGTAGGGAAGGTAGTCCTCAGGCTATAGACATCTGAGGAGAGAAAGCTATGATGGCCATTTTCTGCACACTGTCAACACTCACACTTGGTCCTCAGGAAGGCTTTGCCACCCCCTCCAGCTGAGGCTGTGGGGGTCCTTGACAGGGCGATGTAGAACCACTCTGATCTTAGGATGAATCCCGGTGTGGGTTTTTCCATGTTTTGGTTTTTGCTGTTGTTATTTTTGTTTTTGTTTTATGCTGTGGGGGATGAAGCCTAGAAGCCAGATCATACTAGGCAAGTCCTTCAGCACTGAGCTGCATCTCTATCTATCTATCTATCTATCTATCTATCTATCTATCTATCTATCTATCTATCCATCCATCCATCCATCCATCTATCCATCCATCCCAGCCTGAGAGCCGATCGCTTTATTCTTCAAGTCTTAGGGAAGATATTCTCTTTATTTGCAGCATTCTGAAATGCTGAGGCTTTGTGCCTTGCTGTGTGTGAATACAGGGTTAATAAAAACCCGTTCTCCTTCCTCCTATGAAAGTGACCGGATTCCTTTGTAGCTGTTTCTTTGTCCTGTGCTAAGGGCAGAATGACAGCGGAGCTGTACCCAACACTGCCTTCGGTAAACAGAGCCCTAGATGGTGAAGCATATGTGAGGAGGAGATTAGGAAGGGACCTAAGTTCCTGGGGCAGAATGCCATAGTTTTAAACTATCTGAAAGTGATGCAACATATCCACGTTCTCTGGGTGTGAAGGCTGGAAGCAGCACTGGACTCTGGTACTGGTCTGCCCCACAGTGGTCTGTTCAGGAGTTATTGTGTCTCACCTATAATTAAGGAGGGTAGGGCTAAAGACCACTTAGAGACTTCACTTGAGAAGCCATTGCCTGCTTGCCTGCTGTGTGCATCGCCTTGCATTCTCCTGCAAGACACAGCGAGGAGCTGGCCTTTGGGTCTGTGTGACTACTAGCTGAACCCAAACCCACTGCTGCTGGGTCTAACCGTGAATTAACAACAGTTGGCCTCAGACATAGGGAAAACTTTAGACCTTGACACTGTGTGCCCAGTGTACAGAGATAAACGGGTGGGTAGGACGGTGCTGAGGAGAAGACCCTCAGTCGGGATGCTGGCATACTTGAAGTTGACTGGGGGATGCCCTGTGGCCCTTGGCCCAGCCCCGAGCCCCAGTTGCAGGCTTTCAGGAAGTGTTCCTGGGGCTTACATTTTCCCTCCTGCACTTCCTTGCTGCTGAGAGTGAATGATTCCTTTGTCACTCTAGGCACCTGTTTGCCACTTTCCTGACCTGCACTGGAGTGTGATTCCAAGCCTTGTTCTTCTCACTGACAGCAACACGAACAACAGATCATGTTAAAAAGCATCCATCCCCATTCACCCTCTCTCTATTGGCCATGACCCCAAGCCAGAACAGCCAGAGCCAGCTAATACCAGAGATGCATCTTATTCTTGTTCCTCCTATGTCACAATTGAGTTATTTGTTATTTCTCCCTTATCCATGGGGGTAATGAATTCCAAGACCCCCAGTGGTTGCCTGAACCCATGGATATCAAACCCTGTATGTCCTGTGTATTTTTCTATACATACATATGCATGAGAAAGTTTATAAATTAGGTGCAGTAAGAGTTTAATAATAGTAGAATAATTACAGCTGTGTATTAGGAATTCTGCAAATGCCATCGCTCTTGAAGGAATATTTGCTGACTTCAGTTGACCACTGGTAACTGAGACCATAGAAGGTTAAGCTGTGGAGAAAGAGGGAACATGCAGATGAGCAAACTATAAACCATGCCTCCCTTCCTCCCCACCCTGGGTGTGTTTAATGTCTCTAGAACATCACAGTCAGAGTCCCAGTCGCAGCTGCACTGTAGAAATCATACCTATTTTGGTGCCCCTGATGCATTCAGGCAAATGCCATTTATGGAGGCCGTGGTTACATAAAAGCTGTGGATACCAACCATGGTTAGCACAAGTACCTAGCAGATGGGCTGTGGTGGGCAGGGAAACCCACAGATTCCATGTTTGTGAGTTTGAATTGTGATATAGCAAAAGATATGATGAAAGGTGAGCTGGTGGATTGATTGTGAGTGAGTCAGGGGCTCGAGGCTCTCATGGCCCGTTGTGAACCTGTCTGTATAGGAGGAGGAGGAGGATGTAGGGAGGACCATTTCACAGGTTAATGTTCAGCCCAGCCACAAAGGAGGTGTTTGTGGGGACTCACATGTGCTGTGTTCGCAGAGCTCTGACCCAGTCAGCTACTGCTTTTGCACGAGTTGATTGAAAGCAAGGCTGAGTTCAGGGTTTGACCATAAACTGGAGTTCTCTGCTGCCACCTAGAGATAACCAATGGGAATGCAAGGTCAAAAACTTCCTAAGGCCCGCTTTAGGTGTGGCTGAATGGTAGAACACTTGCTAGCAAGCCAGAGGCCCTTTTGTACCAACCATCCTCCTGCACTGGAGGGAGAGACAGATAAACAAACAAACAAACAAAAAACTATGGTTCTGGATGGGAAAAGGCAATGTTTCTAAAAGGTATTGAAATTTACTACACTTATTGTGCTAGCACAGTCCTTTGTTACTGTTGAGAACTTACCTGTGGTTTCTAAACATGAAAATAAGAGTGTGGATATTACAAAAACTGGCTAGCCAAACAAACAAAAAACCCAGTTCCATTCATTAGGAAATAAAGAGGATAGTTCCTGGATATTCTTGCTGTCAATCCAAGGAAAGAATAAAACCTTCCTCCTTCCTGAAGAAAGGCTATAGCAGGTCAACCAGCTTAGATGCTTTTTTGGATAACAATGGAATATCAGCTGTGTAATCAGACTAAACGCCTTGTTGTTAAAAGTGACACCACTGGATAATTGTAACTGAATTTGGAGGGTTGTGAGCCAGGTATGAATTCCTAAGAGAAAGCCCCAGCGTAGGATTCCTCGTTGCCCTGTAGTGCAAATGCAACAAGTCTACAAAAGACTAACAGAGAAACAGCATGTGCCGTCCCCGAACCTCGTCATCTTAACGAATACCCTGGGTGTAGGTGGCCTGGGTTTCAGCCATGTTTCTGATGGGGCAGGAGAGGTCTATGTAATGCTTTGCCTACTTACAGAATCAGGGGATCAGGACTTAACAAGTGTTTCCTGGTGGAAAATGTGTCTTGTTAGGCAAAAGGAGCTCCTGGACTCTGGTAGTTGGCAAAAGCCTATTTTTGCACGCACTGAGGCATGGAGAGCCAGACCCCTGCCAAGCCATCAAAAGGGATAGAGAAGATGAGTTTATTAGGCTGTCCAGACTTCTTATACATCCACCTGAGGCTGGGGATATAGGCAGAGGGGCTTGCCTGGCATGCCTAAGGCTCTGCGTTCCTTCTGCACTGAGAAAATGCACGATTCTACCCAGACCAAAGTGGCTATTAAATGTATGTGTTTTATTGTTTCTAACTGATACATGGTAGAATTTCCAGGGGATATGGAAGTTTCTGTGTTGTTTGAAATGATCTGGAATTGGGCCTCAGTTTGAATACTGAGGACACGTGAGAAGTGACTCTCAACTCACCATTATGAGTTAACACCCAGAAGAGTTTGGAAGAAACAAGCCCTGTGCGCTGAGTCCTCCCAAACCATCACCCACTGGATTTGGCAATTACTGCCGCCTCCATTGAGGTGAAGAATCAGAGATGGGAGCTGGAAGGAAATGCATATTTGGATGATACTGCAGGAGCCGGCATGCCCTGTCAGGGCTCTGGCCAGGCTGGTCTGGAATCCATGGGTCCAAGAAAGCACAGCTGCCGGAGCTCTGAACATGGACGTAAGCTGCCCTTCATGGGCAGAATTCCTTTCCGGAAGCCCTGGCTCCTCTCTTAGGTCTCCTGTTGATTAAGTCAGGCTGCCTGGAATGTTTTGGATAGTTTCCATTACTGACAGTTAGCTGCATATAGACTTTGATCTTGTCCATAAAGTATAACTTCATAGCAGTAGGTAGATGAGTGTTTCATTGACTAGCTGAGGACTGACTGGGTCCTAGACATGTTGACCAAAATCCAACCTTGAACCTGTGTCAGCCATCTTTATCACATAGCAAGTTACTCTGAGGCAGTGGTTCTCAACCTTCCTAATGCTGTGACCCTTTAAGACAGTTCCTCATGTTGTGGTGACACCCAACCGTAAAATTATTTTTGCAGCTACTTCATAACTGTAATTTTGCTGCTGTTATAAATTATGATGTAGATGTGTTTTCTGATGTTCTTAGGTGACCCCCAGGTTGAGAACCACAGCTTGCCTTGCAGTCGCTGTGGGGTTGGCTGTCCAGATACAGCTTGTCTCAGTCCTTTGAATAAATGTCTCTTAGCACTTTAGTCAGGTTTGACTGGAAGAGATCTGTTGCTCAGCTCATCGCATGGCTTTGGGTGGGATATACTCCTTCCTGAGTTATCCAACTAAGGCACAGTTCCTAGTCAGCAGCTAGACGCAGGACCCCCTTGGTTCCTAGCCACATGGGCCTCTCAGGAACCAACCTCCTAATAGTATCACCCTCTAAAATCTTATGGGGGCCAATTACTTTCAAACTACCACAAGAGTATTTGCCATAGAACTATCATGTGTCCTTTTTATGAGCAGGTGTTTCTGGTCTGGTTACTGTGACTGTCTGTGGTCATGTAAAATGTGTTTTGATTCACTGAATTAAAAGCCATTATCTGAATGGCCACTGCACACTAATGGTCACTAAGCAAGTATGCCCACAGTGGTGTGTTCTTCCTCCAGTTGCCCTCACCATCCAAATCCTGACTCCCAAGAGCCTGGGGACTCAGCCAAGGCAGAAATTAGCTTGGGTGAATTTAGGTTACAAACAGCTAAAGATAGCCTTCAGCTCTGGAGAGTCCATGGGAGATTGGTACAATTGAGTTTCTTTTAGTGGTTTTTGTTTTGTGTGTTTGTTTTGTTTTGAGATAGGGTCTCATTATGTAAGGAGTGAGGAGGAGGCATTCTCCTTCATGCTGGGGTTACATGTATGTCCCCAGATCCAGCCAGGTGGGTGACACTAGGAGGAATTTTCATTTGGCAGCCTGGTCCTTTACAAATGGTTTCCTCCCGTGGATTTGCTTATAGGTCCACCAGGTGTAGTAGAGACAACATCACTCACACTTCATGTGCTTCATCAGTCTCCAAGATGCACACACATACCCACATATATATAAGGACTGAGCTCACAAGCTGTGTCTGCTGCATGTGTCCATAGAGAAATACTAAATGGGATTTCTTTTCAGGAACGCAGTTCTGGGTGTCTCAGTAGACTGATCATATAGCGAGGTCACCCATGTTGCCAGATGAGTCAGTTTCATGGTGTATTTCCCTCCAGGTTCAACATTTGTAGTTCAGCCCAGCACACACCATTGCAACACATGGCTTCAGGGTTATTTTTACTCACTCTGAAGACTGGCTGTTTTATCGTCCATCGAACTGAGTTATTTTTTTCAGATGTCAAGCTTTGTAGCAGGGCTCCCTTTGGGCTGGTTGTTGGGTGAGATGGGAGGTAAGGCTGCTTCGATGTCTGGTATCTCAGGGATCCTCAGGTTGTAATGACCCTTCCTGTCTTAAGTTTATTCACAGGGACTCCTAGGCTGAAAGAAGTACCTGGTAGTTTAAATTTCAGTACTACCAGACAGATCAGATGTGCCTAACATTTGAGTAATTATTTGAAAAGATAATGCATTGGTCATAGGAAGGTGTGTTTTTTTTATCGTGAGCATGATCATTAGGCACCTGTTAAAGGTTGTGTGTCTGTGCATGATTGAGGGGGGTGGGCATGCATGTCACAGCTGTGCCAAGGAGAACAGAAGACAACTTCTAGAGTGGCCTCTCTTCTTCCATCTTTACATGGGTTCCAGAGATTATCTCAGACCTCAGTGTCAAGTACCTTTACCCTATGAGCCATGTGTCTAGCCAGCTAGCTGTCTTAATAGTCTTGTTCATGATAGGTTATCGTAGTTTCTGTGTAGGGTATGATCTAGTCATGGTGCTGAAACCTTTGACTCAGTAAACAGAAGATATAAGGGGAGTCCATGTAGGCGAGGATGAGAATCTCTCTCCCTTTCCATAACCCTGTCAGCCTTTTCCTGTTTCCAGCTTCACCCATCGGCTTAGAAAGTCTAGAATCTTACCATCTGCATTTTCCTAATTCTCAACTAACCCCAGGTGAGGTGTTGCTTAGCACCTCCTGCCTGAGTCCAGATGGGGCAGTTGTCTCCAGAACCGTTTTTAGCTTTGTGTTAGTTCTCCCTGTCTTAGACAAGGGAGTGTGCTTTGTGTTCTTTCCCTGTTCCTGTGATAAAATGCTCTGACAAAAGCCGTCTAAGCAGGAGGGGCTCATTTTAACTCACAGTCCAGGCTGCCCCCATCATGGTGAGAGGAATTGAGGGCAGCTGGTGCTTGAGGCAGCTGGTCACCAGGTTGCATCCTCAGTCACAAAGCAGAGACATGAAGGTTTGTTACTGTAGATTGTTTTCCCCATTTATACAGCCCAAGATGTTAGCCAGGGAATGGTGCCACTCATGGTGGGTGGGGCTTCGCATCTCACTTGGTACAGTTAAGATAACCCACTACAGACCAGAGTAGGGGGGGAGGGAGCAGGTTGTTCTGGTTCAGTGAAGTTTGGCTCAGTGAAGTTGACAGCACCATCATGGGCATCAGCCTGATTCTAACAGACCCATTATTTCCTGGACAAGTGGAAACTAGACCAAGTTACCTATATTTCTGGTTCAAATTCTGAAACATGATATGGGATTTGAGAGTAGATTGTAGAAGGGTACATCAGTCATCGTGGAGCAGGTCTCTCAGGGGCTTAGCCTTGGATAACTAGACTTCCAACATTATGTCAGTGATTCAGATACAGAGAGACCAAGACATTCAGATCTCCATGAAGTACCTGGGCATCCCTCCATGGCTTACACAGACAGATACATGTTCACAGGGCACCTGGGCAGCCTTCCAGTCTTCCTATTTTCTTGATGACCTATGGCTCTTAGGTAGACGGACAGAGTCCTGTCTGTCTTACCTCGGGAAAGCACTGGAGCACTGGTGATAATTTCCTGTGATGTCACCAGCGCAAGTGTCTAGAGTCATTAGAAGCACTGACTGTTAAATGCCAATCTCCTATTCTCCCAAGACTGTAGATTTTCTCACATACAGAAGTGTGTTTGGGAAAATACCAACTGTCTTTTGATATGAGGAGAATCTTTACTCATATGTTAAAGATCGTGGAAATACGATTGAGATCCCCTTTCTCCAAAGGGTAGGAATTGTCATGTAGAAGATTGGGAAATGTTTGTTATCTGCAGAAAGAATAAGTTAGACAAGTGCATTTCTCTCTAACTTTTGTAACTCGACATAGGTATAGACTAGAATGTAAAGTGTTAGACCTGTAAGGGCCCTCCACAGTTGTTATGTGTAATTTCCTAGTAAAATTGTGAACCCTAGAAGGTATGCATTTTGTTGAAGTTTATACTATTGGTTCATGCCTGTTCTGCAAATACAAAAACTCTTTTCCTGAAATTTTGCACCCCACTAAAGTATGGGTCTGGTAAACTAGGAGTTTAGAGATTACATTGCCAATAATCATAGACCATTTGAAACTTATTTGGGTAGGTTGTATCTAAAATGTTTCATCTTTGTGTTTCAGGTCTAAAAACTGAAAATTGCATTGCAAATCCAGGTAAGACATGTCTAAACAATCATCTGTATCACGCGAGAGTATGGATCAAACATCACTATTGCCACACTCTCACCACATCATACCACTGCAGTGTCATACTGTCGGCCAGCATCCCTTAAGGCTAAAGTTTTCTTTTGTTGGTGGCTCTAAGTCCATTTGCTGTACACTCAGAAACTAACACTCAGGAATTGAGAGTTAGTACGGAGAAAACCAGGTCTATACAAAAATGTCAGCACCCTGAGAAGATCGAGAACGGTTGTTTTGGGGCCCATCTCAGGTATAGGAGGGGATTTTACAGGAAGGTGAGGCTGTTTAAAGGCAGTTTTCTTGAGAATTTACAATGCTGGGTAGAGGGGAATTACAGAACAGCCTTATACAGAGCACTTTGCAAAGTGAGTCAGTCTGGAACAAGGTAGTTAAAGACACATGGCACAGCCAGATCTGCTGTCACACTGTCATTGCTATTTTCCTGGGGAGAACGGCCTCTGCCCATTCTGGTCTTCGCCTGTGGCTATTCTTCTCATATACTTCTTGTCCCAGGCAGGCCGGGTTCATGCCACTCTGACTTTGTCCCACAGTGCGTACAGGACTGGTGAAGGAAGTCCCTTTCAGCTTTAGCCATTCCCCACTTGGCTCACGTGGAAAGAGCTAGACGCCAATTCCTGTGTCTTGGCATCTCAGGAAATAACATTTGGGAGAGGAACAGAGCCAATGAGGCATAAAGGAGAAAGAAGCCTGGTGGAACTGTGATGGGTCTGCTTCAGCTCCCTTGGGGGGGTGGGGAGTGGTGGTGGGAAGGTGTAGCAAAAAAAATAACATCTACTAGGAGAGGGTGGGAGGGTTGAGGAGGTAACACCCTGAAACTCTAAATGTAAGGAGGCTCAGCAGAGTCAAGGAGGGGTCGCATGCTGTCAGAGGGCCAAAGATGCCTTCAATTAATGCAAGCTGTCAGGGAACTGTTTGGAAGGTTTCCTCGTTTAAATGTTAGAAAACAACAGTCCATTTCTGTCTTCCTGGCTGGCTTTTCTATGCATTACTCTTCAGATTTAAAAAAAAAAAAAAAAAAAGAAATGTGTATCTCCATGTCTTTGAATTGAAATGTCATGTTTCTTGTAACCATGCTTTGTGTATTTCTTGAAAGTAGGGCAGCTCAAATCCTTATTAGTATTCATGGCATCTGGGCACAGTAACATGGATTTAAATGTTTGTATTTTAGAATATATTGAACCAGTGTATGTCTACAACCCTGGTGAGTATGTGTGTTTACAAATGGTCCAGCAAGCATCCTTAATAGCTCTTCCCTGTGGGGCAAATGTACTTCCTATTTGAGTGAAGATCCAAAAGACAAGAGAAACAATGCATTCTGGGAAATGCCCTCCTCCCCTGCGGTCACTCTGTGGCCCTCCAAGAGGCAAATGTTCTGGGGCACCACAGAGCTCACTCAAGGCCAGTCCTGGGGCCTTTGCAGCTCTATAATCCACTGCTGGGATTAGCATAGGTAGGCGACACCCACATTCAAGTGTAAATTAGAATTCTCGGCATATGTTTGATGTGTCCACACGGCATAAACCACCTAGTTGGGAACATAGTAAATTACACTTATTTTGCGCTAATCAGGATTACCACTATAGGAAAACACAAGTTCAAGCCATATTGAAAGTGTGCTCTGAGACTTTACAACATGGAAGCTTGGTTTATTATAGCTTTCAGCCCCGTTGATGAGAAATTAGGAACAGTGTTGGCAACAGTTAAGCTGTACAGCCTCACCCTCTGGGTGGTGTGGGAGAAGGGATCTGTTGAACAAAAGTCCAGCAGAAGATATGGGGGGCACCCTGTTACAATAAATCTTTCCGCCAAAAGCCGCCTGAGCCCCACTGCCACCTGTGAGCTTTACACCAGCCGCCTGCCCGAGTTAGGCCCAAATGAATACACAGAAACTTGTACTAAGTTCAAAGCTGCTTGCCAATGACTAGGATTCTCATCTGTTAGCTCAGTCTCAATTATTATAAACCTATATATTTCATATGACTTATCTTATCAGACGCCTTATTGGCGTCCCTCCTTGCCGGTGGATCACATCGTGCCACTGGAGCAGGAGCGGAGGGGAAAAGAGGACCCTTCCTGTTTCTCCTTCGCTTAAATATGAGTCTCCTTGCTATGTCACTTCCTGCCCGGATCAGCACTTCTCTACTACATTTCCCAGAATCCTCTTTGACTCCTAGTCCTTGCTTGCCATTGGCCAAACAGTATTTTATTTAACAATCAATAAGATAAACATACACAGTACATTCCCCATCAGCACCCTAAACAGTGCTTCTCTGTGGGCTATTTTGTCCAGTATCGTTTGACTAACAGGGGGATTAGATTTCTGTTTCCACATGTGGAGTCTCAGAACTCATTGTCTGTATTCAATTTCTTGGTTTTGCATTGGGATTATTTCTTTATTGAAGAGAAAAAACTTGCCTTTTAAGTATGCCACTTTCTTTCTGTTGGGGAAGATGCCTCCTGTCCTCACAGAGACACCCTGAGGACTTGCCTACAGCTCCCTCTTACTGGCCCTTTGCCTTCACAAATTCTGACCTTTGCACAGGACCAGTTATTCAAATCAGCCTTTTTTTTCCCTGTCTCCTTGACACTGCCAGGAGACTAGCTGTGTGGTTTATCTCAGGGGAGATGCCAGAGAAGTGTCCAGCCCATTGCCTACCTATGTGGAGATTCTGATTGGCACTTGCATTCAGTGATGTGCCTCCTGGTCCTTTACAATTCTTTTGATCTCTTGGTAAAACTGATGCATTTTGCTTGTTTGTGATATAGATCTGGAAAGTCAGAAGCTTGAAGACTCTGGTAAGACACTCTTGTAAACTCTGGGACGTCACATTTGCAAGCCATGAGGGGGTGGGGAGAGGAGGAGAGAAGCCAGAGCCTATCTTAGCTTACTAGTTTATCTATCAGATGGAAATCTTTATAAAAAACAATGCAGCACCCATGCCTGTAGTCATCCTAAAAACACAAGGACAGTGTGACTAATTATTCTGTAAACTTGTGACCCAAAGTTGTTGACAAACAAATAGCATTTATTTTTCCTAAATTAAAATGACAATTCTTTGTATGTGTATCTGAGTAACATGTACTCATGCCCATTTGATGAGTACATTCCAAAGTATAACTGACTCCCAAGTTTTTACATAGAAAAAAAGAAAAGAAACGTGAGATGGAGAGATGGTTTGCTGCTCTTTTAGAGGACCCAGGTTCAGGTCCCAGCACCCACAGCAAGTGGCTCACAATTACTGTCCATAATTCCAGTCCAGGGAATCTGATACCTTCTGGCCTCCACAGGCACCTGTGAACAAGTGGACAACATATACTCACTCAGGCACACATGCATATACACATAGAAGTAATTTTTTTTTGTGTATGTGTGCATGTGTGTATAAGCTTCTTTGCATGAATGTGGGCACATATGTATGTGAGTGGGTGCATGCATGTTGCCTGTGGGTGCCAGAGGTTGATACCAGATGACTTCCTAGATCACTCTGTGTACTGAGGCAGGATCTCTCACTGTGAACATAAGCTCTCTGTATACTGAAGCAGGATCTCCCACTATAAACCCAAAGCTCTGTATACTGAGACAGGATCTCTCACTGTGAGCATGAAGCTCTCTGATTCTGCTAGTTTGGCTAGCAATGTTTCAGGGCTCCCCTGTTTTCACCTCCCCCACACACAGATTATAGGCTGACCTGGCTCTTATGTGGGTTCTGGGGATCCAAGCTGTGGTGCCCAGCCTTGCATAGCAAGTACTGTATCCACCAAGCCATCTCCCCAGCTTCAGAGTTTCTATTTTTTAAAGATGTTATTGCCTTCAAGTGCTAGGGTAGAAAAGTTCTCAAGTTATCAGAGGAATTATTGGAACACTTCTCTATTTTCTTTTTTCCCCATGGTGCCTGGAATCAAACCTTGGGCTCCCTGCAAGCTAGGTAAGCACACTATTGCTGAGATATACCCCCGTCCCTGGAACAAATTTTCTAATGGTTGATCCAAGAGTATGTATCTTAATATAACTATACTTTTAACCCAGTTATGACTTGGAAACTAGGACAATGTAAGTGTAAATCTGTTGCCTCATAGTCTCAGCAGCATATTTAGAAAGGACAGTAGTGCCAGCAGGTGTTTTATTTTTTGGGACTAAGCCCCGAACATAGCCTTAGCACTGAGCTATCTCAGTTCTCTTTTTTACTTTATTTCTTAATTTTAAGACAGAGTCTGAGCTGGGCATGATGGTGCACACCTTCAACCCCAGCAGTGACAGGCAGATGTCTACTATGAGTTTGAAGCCAGCCTGGTTTATACAGTGAGTTTCAGGCCATATAACATTACACAGTCTTAAAACAAAAACAACAAAAAAGACAAGGACTGTAAAACAAACCCCAGACAGATTGGCTGGGCTTGAACTCACTTTGCAGTTCAAGCCTTCAACGTTCAATCCACTGGCCTCTGCTTTCTGAGTAGCTGGGATTTGCAGGCCTATATCACAGGCCCCAACCAATCCTACATTTCTTTAAAAGAGGCTCCGCAGAGTCAGAAAGATTCCCAGTCGTGGATAAGCCATGACTCAGTGGCTCTGCCCAGTGGCTGGCTGAGCTCAGGTAAGCTTTGGCCAGGTCCTGCTGACTGACCAGCGACCAAAGACACAAGGTATTATGTAGCACCCCAGTACACATTCCTACACACACTGCTCATGTAGGTTGGGTACTATTAAATAATATTATTATTATAAACACCTAGAAAAACCTAGGTGTTTTATTATTTTTATATTATTATATTATTTTATATTATTATAAAAACCTAGAAATTAAGCTTCAAAAAGCATTAAAATATCCAAGAAAGCACTTATAATATGATATAAATTGTAAGAGCTGATGGTCTAGCTCAATAAGTTCTGGATTAGCATGCATGCAGTTCTACACACACACACACACACACACACACACACACACACACGTGTGCGAGCACGTGGAAGGGAGATAAGAGTAATGGGAGATGCATATGATCAAAGTATATCACATGCATGTATAAGAAGATCATACTTGAAACCTATTTTTTATTACATTATTTTGTATGTGTCACAGCACATGTGTGGAAGTCAGATGACAACTTCCACAAAGTGGCTTACCCAGGACTGAACTCAGGTGGCAAGAACCTTTACCAACTAAGCCATCTTGTTAGCCAAAACTCATTATTTTGTACAATCAGTATAAAAAAACAAAGTGTGGTGGTACAACTTATAACCCTAGCACTTGGGAAGTTGAGGCAGGAGGATGGCAAGTTTGAGAGTAACCTGGGATACACAGAAAGACCCTGTCTCAAAATAGGAAAACAAAATACTTGGATTTTATCCCAGGTTTCACAAATCCAGGTCATGGGCAGACAGATCTCTGAGTTTGAGGCCAGCCTGGTCTACAGAGCAAGTTCCAGGACAGCAAGGACTGCACAGAGAAACCCTGTCTCAAAAAAACAAACAACAAAAAAAAACACCAACCAAACAAAAAGATATAAAATAACATAAAGGATCTATAACTAAAATGTGTATATGTGTATATATGCATATATATATATGCAAAAAGATTCAAAGTAAATATACCAAAAAATGTTACAGGTATCTGAGATCTGAGCTTTTTAATTAATTTTAATCCTCAATAATTTTCCATATTTTTCCTTCCAGCAATTATCATCTATTATGTATATGAGCAGAAAACATCATATAAGATATTATATAATGTATATAACACACATAATATACATACACATATACAATACAAAATGAAAACTGTGTCAGAGACTTTGGATAGATTTTCACATTACCATTTCTGTGTATGTGTGTAAGTTATTGGGGTACCCAGATGCTGTAATACACTTGAGGAGGTCAGAGGATGACTTGCAGAAGCTGGTTCTCTCTTTTTACTAGGTGGGTTCCAGAGATGAGACTAAGGTTGGCAAGCTGGGTAGCAAGCATCTCTACCCACTGAGCCATCTTGCTGGCCCTAGATTGACTTATTTATCTTTAATGAAGAATTGTCTGCTTAGCTGAAACGCTCTCCCAAGTGACGATTCTCACCATAAATTAAGCGTCAGTAGGTTAGCAATTCTCCCCTTCTTGTCATTTTGTCCCCTGTTGTCTCTGAAAGCTTTCTGAGCTTTTCACTACCAAGACCCCAATATAAACCTAAGTTAATTTGGAGGCTAAGTACTTTGTCTCACTTTGTAACTGTATCTCATGTAGCCCAGACTGGCCTCCAACCTGCTATGTAGTAGAGAAAATCCTGAACTCCTCATCTTCCTGTTTCCACCTCTTAAGTCTGGGATTCCAGGCACTGGCTCCCACACTGACTCTCCCTCTCCCCCTGCACACACACATGAAAACTCTTCTGCTTAGCCTTAGAAATAAAAGCCAGGGGCTAACCTGGTAAATGAATTGTCTTTTTCTTATTCTGTCAGACTAGCTACCAGGTTATGAATTAAGCCACTATAGGTGGGACAGGTATCACTTTTGAGGTTTCTTTTTAATGCTCTGTGCAGTACACTAAGCATTTGATGCCATATTTTCCCATTAATCCTTACTTCTTTTAATATGCAAGCCATTTCTTCTGGATACTCAAAGACTTCAAAGTCAGAGGCAATATCTACAGTGAGAGTTGGACTAAGTTAAGCAGAGACTTGAGCCCAGTACTGTTCATTTTAAAAAATGGATGGACCATGCTAGAAATGAGCTTGGAGCAATGAGAACTAAATCATAGATGCTCCTGAAATCTGGCTTAATGGACTTGAATTCATATCACTGTTGCTCTTACATTTATGACTTACCTATTTGAAGTTTTGAGATGGGAGACAAAGGGGGATGTTAGCAGTGCCACTACCTGAAAAACACCAACAGCATTTATTTCTGCCTTCAGGTAGGAAAAGACTGGAATCCACAGGAATACCAGGTAAGGTCATTTTCTCTTTACTCAGAGCATTACATGTGTATGCTGTCTCTACAGCTTTCTCTGGAGGAGACTGTACCCACCCAGTCTTCCCAGGCTCCTGGGGCGCTGGCTCTGAGCAGGACAGCTAGCTGTTTGGAACATGGTTCAGGGCCAGCTTGCTGGGACCTGGTTGCAGAGGGTCCAGGCCTTCCTGAAGCTCTGTAGAACTCTGTTTCTTGGACCAACTCAGCATCCAGGCTCACAGCTGTTCTCTGGGACCTGCAAGTAACAAAACACAGTACTCTGCTGGTATAGGCACAGCTCAGTGAGGTGTTATTCACAAACTCCTCAAGTCTGGTGTGGATGTGCACAGTGAAGGCTCATGGAGCCAGAGCTGTGCCATCAAAAGCCTGAAGCCATAGTGCAGTGGGACCTGGAGGTCATGTCCAGTGCTCCTGATACAGTTGGAAACTACTCAGGAGCAACCAGAGGCCACTTAAGTTCTTATTTAGGAAAGAAAATTGCAGGACCTTTCCTACTTCCTGGCAAGCAACAGTAGACACAGAAGAGGGCAAAAAATATACCAGCACAGGGGTACAGATATAAGTGTCATCATCACAGGTGCCAGGAAGTCTAATAACTGCACACAGTCACATGTGAGTGAAGGACCCAGGTCTTTTACTCTTTCTTCCACAATGCTTGCATTTCCTGTGTTTTCCACTATATTTACCATGACAGATGTTACCTGCCTTTCACAGCAACCATGAAAAAGTATATTTTGAAACATACTGGGTGGAGGGTAGCCTGGGCAAGCACCGAGGAGCTGAGCTACTGTGATCAGAGAAATGAAGCTGTGATTCCAGTAAGGTTCCTCAGAAGTCCCTCGGCATCTTATGCTGATGGGGGCAGGTGTGTGTGTGTGTGAAAAAACAAGAGGGCATATTTTATCCACAGTGCTAAACAGTCATGATGCCTCTGTGCCTCAGAACCGCCACCTTTCAAATGTGACCACCTTATCATAGCAACTTCACAGGGATATTGGAAAGGAGTATAAGACCACAACCAATGCTTAATATCCTTTCCCCTGGGTTCATGCAGTGATTTGAAAGATTTTTTTTCTACAGATTCCGATAGTTATAGGCACAATCATCTGTAAAAATCCTGAATTATTCACTTATCTAGAGAGATTGAACCCAGGGCTTATGCATGCTAGGTGAGTACTCTACCACTGAGACTACAGTCCCAGCACATTGAGCATGCACTAAATCACATCCCTGGTCTGACCATGGCTGGACACTGCTGTCTGTTTTAAACAGTAGACCATAACACAGAAAGCAGGGCCAGCAACTTTTTTTGCCAATCCAGATCAGCATTGTAATAGTGGGTGCACCTTGTTCCCCTACATCCCTTCCCGTCTTTGGGCCTGAGTTTGCACAGTGCTGTCGGAGGGGTCTTCACATTCTAACCTCTGGCCATCCAAGAGGCAGCTTCTAAGCTGAGTGTGAAGAACAGGCGTGAGCTGTGTAGACAGACCAGGCATTAAGTCCCCCTCTGTCACCTGCCTCTGGTCATCCTCCACTGTAAGGTACGGATGATTCCACCTTTCAGGGCCGAGGGTCTGACGTCACAGTAGTAAAACATGCTAGGTGAGTACTCTACAGTACCCAACAGTAGTACCTGACAGTAGTAAAACAGTAAATAGAAGCTGCCATTTCCATTTTTATTGAAAGTCTTTTTTTTTTCCATGTAGGAATTAAAGTGCTACAACAAGATGAAAATCCTTTCATGCAAGATAAAAAACCTGGTAATTCTCTGTGACGGGGAACCCCATGAAATTCTAAGTTCTCTACCGTCATCATTCAGATAACTCAGGGTCTGGGGGAGGACATCTGAGCTATACGGTTTCTGACATACACCCTGATGTTAGTTGGAAGCGGGGAAGTGCCGAGAACTCATTTCTTCTTTTTTTTTTAAAAAAAAGATTTTATTTATTTATTATGTATACAACATTCTGCTTCCATGTATATCTGCACACCAGAAGAGGGCACCACATCTCATACCAGATGGTTGTGAGCCACCATGTGGTTGCTGGGAATTGAACTCAGGACCTCTGGAAGAGCAGTCGGTGCTCTTAACCTCTGAGCCATCTCTCCAGCCCCCTCATTTCTTTTTTGACATTTAAATTGAGCTATACAGCCTGGCGTTGGTGGCTCACGCCTTTAATCCCAGCACTCGGGAGGCGGAGGCAGGTGGATCTCTGTGAGTTCGAGGCCAGCCTGGTCTACAGAGCGAGTGCCAGGATAGGCTCCAAAGCTACACAGAGAAACCCTGTCTCGAAAAACCAAAAAAATAAATAAATTGAGCTATACATTTTTTTCTCCACTCCCCTTCCCTTCCCTCTGTCCCCCACATTCCCAATTTACTCATGAGGTCTTATCTTTTTCCCCTTCTTAGGCAGATCCATGTATTTATTGCCTAGTTTCTTTGGGGGTTGTGTCCTGTAGGCTGGTTGCCCTTTGTTTTATGTCTAATATCCACTTATGAGTTGAGTACATACTATATTTGTCTTTCTGGATCTGGCTTACCACACTCAGGATGGCTTTCTCTAGTTCTGCCCATTTACCTGCAAATTTCAAGATGTCTACCCCCCCATTATTACTCCACTGTGTAAATGTACTACATTTTTCTTATCTGTTCTTCAGTTGAGCAGCATCTAGGTTGATCCCAGGTTCTGGCTATTACTAATAATGCTGCTATAAACACAGTTGAGCAAGTGTCCTTGTGGCATTATTGTGCATCCTTTGGGTATATGCCTAAAGTGGTATTGCTGGGTCTTGAGGTAGATTGATACCCAATTTTCTGAGAAACTGCCATACCAATGTCCAAAGTGGGAGTTTGCACTCCCACCAGCAAAGGAGGAGTGTTCCTTTACTCCACATCCTCTCCAGTGTAAGCTGTCATCAGAGTTTTTGATCTTGGCCATTCTGACAGGTGTAAGATGGTATCTCAGAGTTGTTTTGATTTGCATTTCTCTGATGGTTAAGGATGTTTCATTAAATGTCTTTTGGCCATCCCTCAGGTGAGAGTTCCTCTTTTAGATCTGCACCCCATTTTTCAATTGGATTATTCTGTATTCAATGTCTAGATTCTTGAGTTTTTGTCTATTTTGGAGATCAGTCCTCTGTCAGATGTAGGATTGGTGAACATCTTTTTCCAATCGGTGGGCTGCCATTTTGTCTTGTTGATGGTGTCCTTTGCCTTACAGAAGCTTTTCAGTTTTAGGAGGTCCCATTAATTCATTGTTACTCTCAGTGTCTGTGCTACTGATGTATTTAAGAAGCAATCTCCTGTGCCAATGTGTTCAAGGCTACTTCCCACTTTCTCTTCTATGAGGTCCAGTGTGGTTGGTTTTATGTTGGGGTCTTTGATCCTTTTGGACTTGTTTTGTGCATGGCGATAGATATGGATCTATTTGCAGTCTTCTACATGTCAACATCTAGTTATGCCAGCACCATTTGTTGAAGATGCTCTTTTTTTTTTTCCATTTTATAGTTTTAGCTTTTTTATCAAAAATAAGGTGCTCATAGGTGTGTGGGTTAATATCAGGGTCTTCAATTCAATTCTTATTGATCTGTTTGTTTTTATGCCAATACCAAGCTGTTTTCATTACTGTACATCTATAGTAGAGTTTGAAGAATGGTGATGTCTCCATAAGTTCCTTTATTGTACAGAATTGTTTTGACTATCTGGGTTTTTTGGTTTTCTATATGAAGTTGAGTATTTTCCTTTCAAGCTCTGTGAAAAATATTGCTGGTATTTTCACGGGTATTGCATCGAATCTGTAGATTCTTTTGGTTAAGATTGCCGTTTTTAGTATGTTAATCCTACCTATCCAAGAGCATGGGAGATTTCTGCTGTCTTCTTCAATTTCTTTCTTCAAAGACTTAAAGTTCTTGTCACACAGGTCGAAAGACCTTGTTTGGTTAGTTACCCCAAGACATTTTATGGCTATTGTGAAGGGTGATGTTTCTCTGATTTCTTTCTCAGCCCATTTATCATCTGTATAAGAGGGCTACTGAATTTTTTGAGTTAATCTTGTATCCTGCTACATTACTGAAGGTGTTTATCAGTTGTAGGAGTTCCCTGGGAGAATTTTTGAGGTCACTTACCTATACTATCAAATAGCAAAAGTTTGACTTGTTCTTTTCCAATTTGTATCCCCTTTTGTTGTCTTATTGCTCTAGCTAGAACTTTGAGTAGTATATTGGATATGGAGAGAGTGGACAGCCTTGTCTTGTTCTGATTTCAGTGCGATCTCTTTGAGTTTCTCTCCATTTAGTTTGATGTTGGCTTGCCTTTATTATGTTTCAGATGTTCTTTTTATCCTTGCTCTCTCCAAGACCTTTATCATGAAGGGGTGTTGAATTTTGTTCAAGGCTTTTTCAGCGTCTAATGAGATGATCATATGTTTTTCTTTTTTCTTTTAGTTTCCAATTTAGTGGAATACAGGTTTTTGATGATTCTCTGGGTTTCCTGAGTGTCTGTGGTTATGTCACCCTTTTCATTTCAGATTTTGTTAATTTGGATATTCTCTCTGTCTTTTTGTTAGTTTGGATAAGTTTGTCTGTCTTGTTGATTTTCTCAAAGAACCAGCTCTTTGTCTCATTTCTGTTTCTATTTTATTGATTTCAGCCCTCAATTTGATTATTTCCAGTCGTCTATGTCTCCTGAGTGAGTTTTCTTCTTTTTGTTCTAGAACTTCAATTGTTCTGTTAATTCACTAGTTTGGGACTTTTCTAGCTTCTTTATGTAGGCACTTAGTACTATGAACTTTCCTCTCAGCACTGCTTTTATTGTGTCCCATAAGTTTGCGTATGTTGTGCTGTCATTTTCATTGAATTTTAGGAAGCCTTTAATTTTGTTATTTCTTCCTTGACCCAGTGGTGATTCAGTTGAGCATTGTTCAATTTCTATGAGTTTATGGGCTTTCTGCAACTAGTATTGTTGTTGAATTCTAACTTTAAGCCATGGTGATCTGATAAGATACAGGGGATTAACCACCCCCCTTTTTTGTTTTGTTTTGTTTCTGTTGCAGTTTGCTTGTTGTTACCAAGTATGTGGTCAAGTTGAGAGACAAGTTGAGAGACAAAGCACCATAGGTGCTGCGAAGAAGGTATATTCTTTTGTGTTTGGGTGAACGTTCTATACATCCCTCTTAGGTCCATTTGAGTCATAACATCTGTTAGTTCCTTTATTTCTGTTAAGTTTCTATCTGGGAGACTTGTCCAGTGATGAGAGTGGAGTGTTGAAGTCACCCACTATTAGTGTAAGGGGCTTGATGTATGATTTAAACTTTAGTAATGTTTCTTTCACAAATGAGGGTGCCCTTGTATTTGGGGCAGAGATGTTCACAATTGAGAATTCATCCTGATGGATTTTTTTCTGTGACAGATATGAAATTACCTTCATCTCTTTTGACTAATTTTAGTTTGAAGTCTATTTTGTTAGCTATTAGGGTAGCTACACCAGCTTATTTCTTAGGTCCATTTGATTGGAAAATCTTTTCCTAACCCTTTACTCTGAGGTAATGTGTCTTTGAGGTTGAGGTGTTTCTTGTATGCAGCAGGATGAATTATGTTTTCATATCCAATCTTTTTATAGGCAAATTCAGTTCATTGATATTAAGGGATAATAATGATGACTGACTGCTAGTTCCTGTTATTTTTGTTTTTGTTGGTGGTATTGTGTTTCCCTTTTTAGAAATTTGCTGTCGTGGGATTATCTATTGCCTGAGTTTTTGTGGATGTAGCTAACTTCCTTGGGTTGGAGTTTTCCTTCTAGTACTTTCTGTAGGACCAGATTTATGGATAGGTATTGTTTAAATCTTGTTTTGTCAAAAATATCTTGTGTTCTCTGAAATCCAGGTCCCTTAGTGTCTGCATAACACTTGACCAGGACCTTCTGGCTTTCATTGTTTCCACTGAGAGGTGGGGTGTAATTCTGATAGGCCTGCCTTTATATGTTACTTGGCCTTTTTCCTTTGCAGCTTTTAATATTCTTTCTTTCTTCTTTATGTTTAGTATTTTGATTATTATGTGTCGAGGGAACTTTTTTTTGTTCCAGTCTATATGGTGTTCTGTAAGCTTCTTGTACTTTCATAGGTATGTCCTTCTTTAGGTTGGGAAATTTTTCTTTTTTTCCTTTTTTCGAGACAGGGTTTCTCTGTATTGCTTTGGAGGTTGTCCTGGAACTCACTCTGGAGACCAGGCTGGCCTCAAACTCACAGCAATCCACCTGCCTCTGCCTCCCGAGTGCTGGGATTAAAGGCATGTGCCACCAACGTCCAGCTCTTCTATGATTTTGTTGAATATATTTTCTGTGCTTTTGAGCTGGACTTCTTCTACCCCTATTATTCTTAAGGTTTGGTCTTTTCATGGTGTCTGAGACTTGGATATTTTGTGTTAAGAATTTGTTGGATTTAAAATTTTCTTTGACCAATGAATTCATTTCCTCTATCGTATCTTCACCACCTGAAATTCTTTCTCCCATCTCTTGTAGTCTGTTGTTTATGATGCATCTGTAGTTCCTGACTTCTTACCCAGATTTTCCATTTCTAGAGTTCCCTTGGTTTCTTTTCTTTTTTTCTTTTTTTTCTTTTTTTCTGTTTTTTTTATGGTATGATTTCTTTATTGCCTCTATTTTAGTTTTCAAGTCTTGAACCATTTCCTTCACCTGTTTTAACTGTTTCTTCTTGGTTTTCTTTAAGGGATTTATTAATCTCTTCTAATTTTTTGTCTTTTCTTCCATTTCTTTAAGGGAATTTTTCATTTCCTCTTTAAGGGCCTCAATCATCTTCATAAAGTTTTTAATGGCATTTTCTTCTGCTTCATCAGTATTGGGATGTTCAGGTCTTGTGTGTGTTCTTACCTTGTTGTCTACCCATCTCTTCCTCCATTCGGTACAGGTGGAGCCTGTGCTTCAGGGGGTCCCTCTTCCTCCGTTGAATGCTCCTTTAGGTGCAGGCAGGGATGAGCTTCTGGTGATTTCTCCTCCAGGTGTAGATGAGCCCAAGGCTCAGATGCCCTCTGCTCTTGCTGTAAGTGGGGCCATGACTCTGGTGGCCACTCCTCTAGGTGCAGGTGGGGCTGAGGCTCCATCCAGTGCTTGGATAGTTTCTGCCAGTTGTCACTGTCTCCCAACGTGCCCAAAGGCACTTCTTTACATAGTTTCAGGGAGCTGCTGCTGTTGATGCTTCAGCCTCTCACTCAGCCCCTGGAGTGTGATGTGCTCTTTCTCTCTGTCCCCTCCCACTCTCTGCCCCCCTTCCTCTCTCTCTCACCCCGTCCTCCCTCCCTCCCCTGTGTGAGCAGGTTGCTAAAGCCTAGAAAAGGGTAGGTGACCTTATACTGGGCAGCAGTGTCCAGCTGTACTTTTATTCCAGAGTGAGTCAGGAACTGTAGTGTGTCTGTACATAAAAGAATACACTATGGAAAGTGGGAATGAGAACCTCACAGCACACCCATGCAGGACCAGCCATTGTGTCTGCATGCCTTCTTTTCCTCAGCCAGACAGATTTTGGGAGGAGATGAACTATTGTGCCCCTCTTGGAAAGCTGTGTATCGTGCAGGCTTTTTAAGGCTGGCTCATCTAATCCTGCAAGGTAGATAACTGTCCTTGCACAGCAAGGTTAGGAATCTGGTGAGAGCAGAAAAGACAGCCACACACTTGGTGGTGGTACGGCACAGCAACTGGGAGCAGAGGTCAAACATTGGTGCCATGGATGCATTAGCTTTGACTCCATGCACAATGTACCTCAGACAGTGCAGATGACTGGAGTGTCCTTGATACCCTGCCTAGTAGGATGATAATGTGGTGCTCTGGTGATGCGCTGGCACTCAGTAAGTGGAAGAGTAGGTGGCTTGTACTTGGCAATCTGAGTTCAATATACAGAAAAAGATTATTTTTGGTAAACAAACTTCACATTCATTTTAATGAAAACACATTCATGGGGGAAATTTTTCAGAGAACAGATGGGTCAAATTAAAGCCTTCTTTCTCTAACCTCACATATGCTGCAGGCCCACTTTCAAGGGGAGAATAAGCCTGCTCCAACTTTGAGATCTTCATGTCTGGAGAAAATGTATAATTCAGTAACTCAGTTTCTCTTTATGTTCTAGAAGACAAAAGCCAAGGAAATGCTGTCAATCCTAGTAAGAAATACCTCCTTTTCTTTGGATGATACATGCTTTAAAATGTAAAAATGTTAATTTTTTTCTCATTGAAAGGTGACAAAGTTGCATGTGTAAATGCCCCTCCCCAACCCATGTTTCCTTTAAATAACTGTCTAGAGACAGTTAATTCTCAGTTCTCTCAAGCCATCCTTTTTCAAGACAACCAGTATTTCATAAGGTCTTCATAGTATCCCAAAATAATATTCACAGCAAGATGTACCTTACCTGTAAAATAATCGGCATGTTCTGACTATATTTTGTAGTTATATGTCCCAATCCATAAAATGGACATATCCTACATCAAAATTTGGGTTGGGGCATACTGGAAGCTATTCCATATAAGATCAAAGTGAAGCAACAGCAGACAGTAGATGAACTGTTTTACGCTAAATTAAAACGATCAGAACAGCAGGCGGTGGTGGTCCATGCCTTTAACCCCAGCACTCAGGAGGCAGAGGCAGGTAGATCTCTGAGTTCAAGGCCAGCATGGTCTACACAGAGTGAGTTCCTGGGCAGAGATACACAGAGAAACCAATTAGAAAATACTTGATTTATATGGGAAGCTGCTTCAGGTTGTGTGACCACTGGAAGCAATTTTTTATTTACACGTGACTGGCAGTACACTTGAAAACTGCAGAGGGTAGGTCCATGTTTCACTGTGGAAGGCTATCCTGAGCATTTTAGATCTAGTTCCTGACAGTTAAAAAAAAAAAAAAAAAAAAAAAAAAAATTTTTGCAGCTAGCACGTGTGAGGCCCAGGTTCAGTCATCAGTATCCCCATTCCACCCTGGACAGCTAGATTGCTCCTCAGGTACAGTACTGCCCACTTGTGAACTGCCTGTCTGCAGCAGCAGCATCCTAACGCACCAATGACCTGCCAGCCATTTCATCTCTAGCCACATGACTGCCATGTCTACAGCTGACACAAAGTCCTAGTAAACCACTGTTTCTCTTGGCTTCATGTATGAAACCTGACTGCTCTCATACATATCCTAGTTGGAGAAACTCGGAGAGCACTCTCTCTTCCCCTATGCAATCTGCTTAAACAAAGGTGTCAGCTATGCAGGTTTAAAGCAAGAGTAAAAACAAGCTGGTTTTCTTCAAAGCCATGTACATGTGGAGGAAATAAACTCTTTTTGCCAGTTTGTAGGCTCAGTGTTTTAAAAAATGCAGTTATATCCAACCAAAACTGATACCTGTGTGAATGTGCACATGTACTATCTTGTTTGAAATGAGACACTTGAGGTAAACTTTACAATGTATGATCTAAAGCAAATGGGAAGAGAAAATTGCTAAGAAATTCTGGTGCACTTGAACAAGAAATAATTGTCTTGGTTGACTACATAGATTAAAAAACACTGTGGAATCTGAGAAAAAAAAACAAAAACAAAAAACCTAGAACAGTATGCCCTGATGATACATCTAGAAATCTAGCCTGAAACTTCGAGGCTGCATGTATGTGCAACAAGCGCCTGACTGATGGTATTTCAGCAGGCTCTTACCTTAGCCTGCTGCTGTTTCACACAGTTGTGCTATCTGTTATAGGTGGAGGATACTTAGTACCACAGAGTGACATGACTGTGTTCTCTTTAACAGCCCTGGGCCCAGTTCCAGTTCCAGGTCCCAAATCCCATCCTTCTGCATCCTCTGGCAGAATGCTCCTTCCACCAGTCACAGCATCCATCGCATTGATCGTCACTTCTGCTGTAAGCATCTCCACTGCTCTATAGTTTGAAACAGCATCCTATCGTTCATTTGAAAGACGCTATGGAGATGCCACAGGAAGTCAAGAGAAAAGAGGTCTTTCTCACTTGCACAGGCTCACTGTATAGAATAAGAACTGTATATTTGTTCCCTGTTTTACAATTTAAAAAGCTGTTACAGATAGTGTCGAAGAATTAACTTTTCATTTCTGTTTAATTTTAGGATTGCAAAAATCCCAAAGCTGTATACTTTTGATTGTATTCAATAAAACTTTTAAGTTTATTAAATGTTTTCCTGTAGGATTTCCAAATATTAAAAGGCCATTACTACTGTGACCAACATGAATTTAATGCCAGAATCAAAATGTGAATGATAGTTTTCTCTCTGAAACAATAAACAGGTAGACAGGAAAATGAGAGTGAGCTGCTAAGATGGCAGCCTTCTGTTGCCAGGAGACAAAGCAGAGAACTGCAGGCAGGAGAGGCCGCTTGGGGACCCTGTAACACAAGCAGCTCTGGGATCCCTGCCTTCCCACAGGGAGCTGTTACTTTGCTGCTATATATTTCTCCTTGTCTTTCTTTCTCACCAGTCTCCTAGATGGCCATCAGGACCTATCTATCTCCTGAGCCAAAGTGACAATGATCACATGCAAAGAAAACCCTCCCAAAGCCACTGGCATTGCAATAAGCATGAAATTAAGACAGAAGAAAAAAAAAATGGGAGAGTGGTGTTATGTTTGTATGTTCCACACCCAGCATCAACAACTACAAAATTGTTGCAGCCAAACTGGAAAGTTTTAGTCTCTCGTCTTTACAGTGTAACCTCTGCTTCAGTAGGATTCTAGACATGGCGCTTTCCCATCACCACACGTTAGTACAACAGCAAGATTCACAGTGTTCTCTCTCATAACATCCCCCAATGTAAGCCAAAGCACCACACAGGAGTGAAGCATAGTTACAGCATTTGGAGAGGTGTCAACAAGCTGCGGCCCAGGTCTGTCCTGCAGTCTGAAGTTGTATTCAAAAACGGTGGTCTATAGAAGAATCAGATTATGTAGTATTCAATCACTGTTTTCAGATGCTAATTTATGAGGGACCTCTTCATCCTAGATGATTCCATTTGTTATATTCTAGTCAAAACATGTCAATACTGATAAGTCCTTAAATAAAACACCAGAGGAAAGAATTACATAAAATTGCAAATTAACAATTTATTTTATAGATTTCATGTTTAGAAATAAAAAGTTAAGAAAAAAGTTTGCCAAAACAGTGATTTTGCTAAATCCTAATTGGTTAGGCATGTTCTGTCAGTTCCAAATAAGTAAAATAATATAAAAATATATCTTCACGTCTTCATAGAACAAAAGGAAAACCACACAAATCATTAAATACTTTAGGATTTTTTTTACTCTCCACTGATGACCTCACAGATATAAAAGCTGAAATACATTCACACTCTGAAGCATAGTCAACAGCCACATAATTACAGTTTATTTTGTTAGGATTTTGTGCTATGGAAAAAGAATGGAGAATAACCATTAAACACTGTCTATGCTTAATGCTGCTGTAAAATGTACAGCAGTGCATATACTTTGGATAATTGTGTAGTTTTTTCTTAAGTATACTTTTAGGTATAAATTTTCAGATTCTCTTTGAAGAGCTTTGTGGTGTCCATTTCAGATTTAATGTCCAGTAGTTTCTCAGGAACCTCAAACCCGCCAATGAGGAAAGGACTTTTTCCCATCCACGTGGTCATCGTAAGGCCTGAAGTAGCAAGATGACTTTATGAACCTCTGACAGAGTCTGTAAATGGTCAGCAAAAGACACCGCCTCTAGTATGGATGGTTTCATTCAATCCATGTTCTACCAGTTTTATATCTTCTAGGTCATCTTTTATGATGCTAATCAGGTGGCTGAGGCCTTCCTGTTGTTGTTTCAAATGCTAGAATGAATTTGGAAGAAAATAAAACGTGAGTGTACTGTTCTGTTAAACTGAAAGCTATCCATTAAGTACTTACAATACAGCACTCATTGACTAAACACAACAAGCATGCACAGTGAGACAACTATCATCAGTACAAGACACTCTAAAACCAGGGAAACCCAGACAAGCATTCATCGACAATATCTTTAAAATGTGTTTTCTGTATTTTTAGGGCCTTGAACCAATGCTCCTGCCTCCCAAATGCTGTCTGTGACTGTGGGTATGCACTATCACAGTTTCCATGGTGCTGGGGATTGGAGCCAGGGCTCCAGACACAGTAGGCAAGCACTCTACTAACTGAGCTACATCCCTGATCCCAGCTTCTCAATTTGATATACATACAGATCATTCTAGATAAAATGCAGCGAGAGGATTTGGAGGAAGCCTGAGATTTACCTCCCCGCTGACCTGAGTACTGCTATTGCCTACCCTTTGACACTTCTACTATCTAAATAATATCGGGGGGGGGGGGGGGGGGGGGGGTAGGGGGAGGTTGATACATTTGGCTCTTTACTGTGCCATAACATGTGGACCATTTTATGTGTACAGGGATGTTGTGTATGTTCACATCAAAGTTGGTCATGGGTTACTCTGCTTCACAGAGGGGGAATCATACATTTGTCTTTGTATGACCACATATTTCAAGGTCTATCCATGTTGTGGCATGTGTCAGAATTTCCTCCTCTTTAGGAGTAATACTCCACTATATGTGTATGTACACAGGTATATAAAAGTTTGTGCAGATCCCTGCTTTCAACTTCCTGGGGTACATATATCCAGAAATAGAACTGGCTGGGCGTGGTGGTAATACCTTGAATCTAAGCACTCAAGTGGCAGAGGCAGACAGATCCCTTAGTTAAGACCAACCAGGGTTACATACTGAGACCTTGTCTGTCAAAAACAAACAGATGGAGAACTGCCAGATGAGATGTTAATTCTACTTTTTATTTAGCTTTTTGTTTGTTTGTTTGAGACAGGGTTTCTCTGTAGCCCTAGCTGTCCTGGAACTAGCTATCTAGACCAAGCTGGCCTCGAATTCATAGAGCTCCACCTGTCTCCGTCTCCCAAGTACTGGGATTAAATGCTGGTGCCACTACTGATGTTTTTTTTTTATATTTCATGTTACTTAAAGGTGCCAATTTGAGGAGAAATTGAGGTTACAATTTCTCCACATTCTAATGGGTGAGTAACTCTGTTGTTGAACAGCAGCCACCCTGACAGATATGTAGTTGTAAGCTAACACTCACCTGCTTGATCTCCCGTAACAGGTCTGCATCTATGTAATACCTTTCTTCAGATTTCACAGCTCCAAAGTGATTCTGCATCCGGATCTGGGACATCAGTTCATTTAGTCGACCCTAAAAATGAGTTAGAAACAAGCGCTAACAATCACAGCAACTCCTAAAGACGGTGGCTGTTTTTGATAAGATAGCCTTGAAACCATCAGTTAAAACTCCCGGGTCTTGAAGCACTAATGCAAGCCAAAAGTACCATGACTGAGAATTTCTTTTAGAAAGTTTAATTAGTGGAAACAAATGCTTAAGACACACAACATTACAGGTTTCTGTGTGATGACTACTTATCCCTATTCAGCTCTACCTCAAACAGCCTCGAGCCAGATAGGCTTCCAAGTGCTTACTTTGAACTGAGTAGGTGCATTTAGTTCCCCCTGGATAGTGTCCAGCTGAACCCGCAGTTGCTCTTCGTCAGCCTGGATGGCGTAGCCGCTCTTCCTTTGAATCTCCTGTTTGATTAGGACCTGTAAAAGACAAGATCAGTACCAGCCAGTAGAATACTTTTTACGAACAATTATGGACTTGCTGGCAAAAACTAGCTGAGAATTAATATGTTGGGGGGGGGTGCTTTGAAATCCTAGTACTTGGGAGGCTAAGACATGAGGACAAGTCTGAGGCTGGCCTGAGGAACAAGGAGAGTTCTAGGACAAGTCTAGGCTGCATAGCTGAGACCCTGCCTCAAATAAACAGTAAAAACCAAAAACATTAAAAAAGGGGGGCAAAAAATCCAAATCCTTTATATTTTTACTCTGAAGCGCTTTTATATCCAATTAGATTTCCTTTCTTTCTTTCTTTTTTTAGATTTTATTTATTATGTATACAACATTCTGCTTCCATGTATATCTGCACACCAGAAGAGGGCACCATATCTCATTACAGATGGTTGTAAACCACCATGTGGTTGCTGGGAATTGAACTCAGGCCCTCTGGAAAACCAGCCACTCTTAACCTCTGAGCTATCTCTCCAGCCCCCCCCCCCTTTTTTTTTCAAGACAGGGTTTCTCTGTATTGTTTTGGAGGTTGTTTGGGAATTTTCTCTGTAGCCCAGGCTGGCCTTGAACCCCCCTGCCTCTGCCTCCCAAGTGCTGGGATTAAAGGCATGCGCCACCAACGCCTGGCTGATTTTCTTATTAAAGAAAATATCTGGGGGGGTGGGGCTGGAGAGATAGCTCAGAGGTTAAGAGTGGCTGCTTTTCCAGAGGTCCTGAGTTCAATTCCCAGCAACCACATGGTGGTTTACAACCATCTGTAATGAGATATGGTGCCCTCTTCTGGTGTGCAGGAATACATGTGCAGGCAAAAGGCTGCATACATAATAAATAAATCTTTTTTTAAAAAAATTGTATAAAACATAACACAGCTAAAATCAATGCTGTTTGTAAATTTTGTTTTTTACTCAAAGACTACTGAAAAACAGATAAAACTCATTTTTGTGTTTTGAGACATGTGGCTCAGGGTCACCTTGAACTAATCCTCCTGTCTTATCCAAAGTGCTAGGATTACAGGCATTCAACACAATATCCAGATTTAGTCAAGTTCACTGTAAAGTTTCCAGCTGTCTGGGCAAGTGAGCATCTCACCAATTAATGAGTAGTTATACAGGGAGCCAAGTGCTGGCACGAGGCTGCCCAGCATGAGCAGATGTAGACTAAATGGAGAGTGGCTCCTGAGAGGCATGCATGGGAATTCTCCACAGAATAATAAAATATCCTAAAACTCATCTCTGAAATGGTTGCACAGGAATGTGAACATACTGAAAACACACTCACAGACTGTTTATCCTTTAAGTGAGTTAAGTATATGATATAATGAATTATATCTTAATCAAAGTGTTCAAAAGGAAAAAGAAGACATCAATATTTTTCCTTGATTTAGAAAGATTTGAGTTAACACAAAAATTAGCTTTTTATTAGACAAAATTCAACAATGAAATCAGCTATATTTGGGGGTTTTCCACATGGACTTTAGAACTCTTCCCCTCTGCTTTCTGCAGTTACCATTTTCTTCATTTTGCTATACACTACTTTTGGTAAATTTTATTTGTTAGAAAATCACCTGTCTCCCTAGGTTTCAAATCTGAAAAATGCTATCATCTTTTATGACTTAGGCCTATGTGTGTAGCACTGTTTCTCTGATTGGCTGTTTCTATCTCTTTGAGTTGGTTCTGTTCTGATTGTCTTCCACAGGACAGCTTTGCAGGTCTGTCCACTGCCATTCTGAATATATCCCTGGTTTCTCACCTTTATCTTACAGGTTTCAAGCTTACTTTGATATTTCTCAAATTTCTTAACGTTGAGCTCATATATTTTTATTTGGTATTTTTGATGAGGGCTTTTGCTTGTGTCCCATCGAATCGGATATGGAGCACTTGTTCTCATGACAATTTATGACTTCACCTTTGGTTGCTGTTCCATTCTGTCTGTTAAACTGGTAATTGGTTTTAA